AATTGTTGGAGTTTTTTTTTCCTTTAAAGTTTATTATTTGCACTGAGAATATTATTAACATATTTCTAAGATCGAAGTCAAATGGAGAAAATTGTACAAACTTTTTCTTGGACACAACAGAAAAAAAAAGCTTGCTAGAAATAAGCTTCTGTCATTGCGCAAATAATCAATGGATTTTGTAATATCTTAAGGCTCAGGCAATGCGATTGTTATAAATGTTTTCTTGTTTTCTTTTATTTGTTATTGTTATGAAGCGTGAAAAGCAGAAACTGTGTGCAACAATTAGTCCAATAAATATTCCGTTTATTAACATTTGAAATGCGTTTAAATATTTGCTTGTTTTTATTATTTTGTATTATTTTTTTGTGCCTTATAATTTTACATGCTATGGCAGTTTTATTTGTTGCGATCGAGTTTTTGGCTCGATAAATCTGAATTCCCATGCTCTTTAAACAATTACAACAAAAATCTAAAAAATCAAGCACATTTACTTACAATACACAGAAAATGCAAAAAGGTTTTGTTTTTTCTCTAAGTGTATTCTCTGTTCGAATCCTTACTTTTGATTTACACTCTTCTTCTTGCTACTTTCGTTCTTCTTGTTTTGTTGAGTCGTGCGTTTCTGCTTTTCGGTGCTTTGCTTTTATAATTTATTTTTATTTTCCTTTCATTTCTTTTCTTTTTTTTTTTTGTAAATATACAAATATATATTTATATATATAAATATATAAACAGATTTACGTACATAAAAATATATAATTATTACTTTTTGTTTGTATAAAAAACTAATACAATGCTGCGTGTATACATTTCTATTGTGTATGTATGTATGTGTGTGTGTGTGTGCTCGTATATGTGAAATCGGCTGCATTTATCGAAAAGGAAAAAGAATATTAAACAATACAATTGATAATTATAAAACATTAGACATACAATAGGCAAAACATATTAACACACACTCGCGTGCAAAGAATATCAATTTTCGATATAAATATATATAAAAATATTGCATATGCTTAGACAAACTAACATATTTGTATATATGTATACATATATGTGTATGTGTGTGTTTGTGTGTTTATCAAATAAATTAGCACTGAGTACAACAAAATCCTGAATTTCACAAATCATTTTCATGCTGTGTGTGTGTGTGTGTCTGTGTGTTTGTATATAATTTTGAATGATTTTGCTTTTGCTTTAGTTTTTGTTTGTATTTACTTTGTAATGTTTTAACGTAGTATTTTTAAGCGCTTAGAGAACTATTAGATTTGCATTTTGAAATTTGTCAATTTTATATCTCATTAATTGTGTGCTGTAGTTTTTTGTATTCTTGTTGTATAGACTATATATTTTAAATATTATTTGCATTTTCCATTTTATTAATTATTTTTCATTCTGTTCTGATCGTCACTTTAGCTTCTCCTTCTTCTTCAACTTGTTCAAGTTTAGCTGCTCATTTGTTGCTTTATAATGCCTCTCTCATATATTTATTTATATATATATAAATATATTATTTGTTGCTTTCTTTTCGTCGTTTACATTCATTTCGTTTGCTTAGCTGCTCTCTCCCAATGCTCTCACGAGCCCATCTCTATTGTACCGTTCCCGCCATCTTGCTATCTCCCTCTCTCTCTTTCTTTCTCTCGGTTACACTGTTGTCCCCGCCTGCGCCGGTGGTTGTTGTTGTTTCCTTTTGACAAATTTAAGCCTCGCTCTTCTTCTTCTCCTTCTTCTTTTTCAAAAACGATGGCGTACGCAGTCCCTTCTTCTTCTTCTTGTCTTTCTTGGGTGAACCGTCCGTGGAGACATCCTGGAACCGTAATAGAAATTTGCAATGAGAATATCGTTTGCATTTCAGTTAGTAAATGCGATGAGCGCGCAATGGTTTTTGCTTGTATTAATCAAATGAGTGGTGTATATGCATATATTGTACATACATATATATACATATGTAGTATGTGCATGTATGTATATGTGTATGAAATGGCTGATGAGCTTCTGTGACAACTGAGCGCTGCTTAGACTGCACGTGAGAGCGTCGAGCATATCCAATTGGAGTGGCGTTGCATATCCAATTGGAAAAGTTTGGCTAGGTATGCAACTTACCTCTTTACTGCTTTGCGAGAAGGTGCTTAGGTGCGCCTCCGAATGGTCGCCATTTTGTACGTTTTCACCTGTTGAAAGTGGAGTAAATAGATCGCATTAGATATATTAGGTAATAATTGTTTGGATAACAGTACTATTATGTAACTCAATGGACGCACACAAAATCAATGTATATATATGTACATATATAAATATATATGTATATATGTATGTATATGTGAATACAGTTCAGCATTAGAGGACGCGCACACGCAAAATGATTACGAAAATTCAATTAAATATTAATTACAAACAAATAATGTTAGTATATATGTATATGTATTTGTATGTAACTACTACATACATACACATGTGGTCTGTGAATATGTATGTTTTTTTAGTACACAAATGTTAGGCTAAACAAACACAAGCAGGCATCTAAATATTAACATAAAACAAATACTAAAGAATATAACATTAAATTATGTAAAAAGTGCATTAAAATGCTTGTTACCTGGTTTTTGCTTAAACACCGAATGAATGGGAACTTAAAACATTATTTACATAGTATGGCAATGAATGAAAATAGCTGGGAAAACATTTATTATAACTGATGGATTGGATGTGCCGTTAACAATTTAATATGTAAATTATAATATATAAAAAATAATGCATAAAAATATAACAAAAATAAACACAATTCATGAACTCATTAACTCTAAAAATAAGCAACAAATGACAAATTCGATATTATTCCATTTCTTATATGATAAAAGAGTCCGGGATATGGAATGGAACGTAGACTTAATTTATACAGATTCTCTTGATTGGGTTGAAGTGCGTTAAATGGAATGCGGAATGGAAAGCCGAATCAGACTTCATTTACTCTAGAACTCCCTCTTGTTCCCCCTGGTTGTTACTTGGCTCTGGTTCGCTTGACCACGCCCTTTATATCGTCACGCATCTGTGAAATGCGAGTGCGACAATCATAGATAACGGCTCGATTGTGCAGCTCATGCGCCCGTATGATGCTGTTCAACAGATGCTGCAACTCAAGCTCCAGCGTGCTGAGCAGACGCTGCAGTGCCTCCGCCTCTGGGCAGCTGTGCCCATTGCTGCTCGATGGCATTGGCGAGGCTCGTGGTGCCGACGAATCGGAATCTCCCAAGGCCACATAGCTGTAGGTGTGACACAGTGCCGGCGCCGAGTTGCAGCGCTGCACCTGAGTCATTGCGGTGGATGGTGTGGGCGTGGCCAGTGCAGCACGCGGCTGCTGCTCCAGATGAGTGTGACGCTGCTGCATGGCCAGCTGCTGTGATATGTAGTGAATCTCATCGTCGATCACCTTCTCCAGCTTCGTGCGAAACTCGTGCTCGTGCGCCTGCACCGTCTGCACGCATTCCGTGTCACGCAGCGACACATTGATCACGATCTCAATCGAGGACGACTTCAGCTGGGATTGTGCCTCCGGCGAGCTGCTCAACGTTAGCCTAATATGCTTGCCCTGACTGTACGCCTCGGCCTCCTGGGTGGATGAATCGTTGCTGGTGGTGCCGCGGCGCACGCGTCTGCCATTGCTGCTGCTATTGTTGTGGTTGCTGTTGTGATTGTCGTTGTTACCGTTAATGTGGCTGTCACCCAGCCCACTGTCCACTCCGTTCAGGTAAATCGCTTGCTCCGCCTCGGGCTTGTCAGCCGTTGTAGCGCCATCCTTGGGCAGCGCATGATTGTCGGGCAGGAAGCTGCGCACGGTATAATTGCTTGGATAGAGACTATCGTCATCCCTCTCCTGCTGCTGCTGCGGACTGTTATGAGTCTTACGTAGGCTTAACATGGAACTAAACTGCGCCGTCAGCTCCTCCAGCGAGTCGTTCGCGCTTGGAGCCGGCGCAGGTGACGATGGCGACGATGCCATCAATTGTATCTGCATTTCAGACACATACGAAGGCGCTGATATTCCAGCCTCAGCCTCAGGTTCCAGTTCCGGTTCTGGTTCCGTCTCCGGCTCAGTCTCTGCCTCAGCTGCTAGACGCTTGCCCGAACTGGCACTCAAAACATTGAGCATCTTGCGCTTGGCAAAGCTCAGACTGGTCAGATCAATGAAGGAGACAACTCTCTCGCGCTGCTCAGCCACCGTTTGCCAAATGCTTTGATTTGCCGGATGCAGCAAAATGCTGGGCGTATTCGCCAGCGGATAGTTAAAGCCATAATGTGAACAGGTGCGAAATGGTGCAGCTGGTGGATTCATCATATTATTGCTGCTCACAGACTGCTGTTGCTGTTGTTGTTGCTGTTGATATCTGGGCGCTCGGATAGGTGTGCTGCTGGCATGCAGATGGGCAGAAAAACTGTCCATTGTGTTGTTCATGTTGCTGCTGCTGCTATTGTTGCCATTGTTGAGCAGTGGATAATTGTGTTTATATGTTGCATCGATCTTATGTAAGACATTAACCTGAACGCAATCAAAGCGCGAGAAGCTGGCGCCAGTGTAAAGAAAAGAGTATTTCTTGGCCAGATATGAGCACATGGCTGAGAGGAGGACGAGAGATGCAATGAGTGTGTGTGTGTGTCTGGGTGTGCGAGTGTGGGTGGGAGTTTCACATGAGACAAGGAGAGCACATGGGATCGGACAATGGAAGGACAACAGCTTAAACAGTGACAACAACAGTAATGTAAATACTAACAGCAACTGTAAATGTTGCTTGCTCTAGCTCTAGCTTTCACATTAACATTGATATTATTGCTAACAGTAACAATAATGTTGACCTTAACATTTAACAGTGACAATAACAGCGACTTCAACAGCAACAGTTACAGTAGTATTAACCTTAATATTTACAGAAATGTATATTTATTTTCCATTTTTAATTTTTAAACAAATTAGTTAACTAAAATAAACATTTAAACAAAATAAATAAACTCAAAAGGATATATTTATTGTTCTTCATAAAAAATAGATCCATTCACCATACAATCCACCAGTGGTTAGTATAATAAGTATAAAAAATGATACAAGCTCATGCCAAGTTACATCATAAAAATTAAAAAAAAAAAGAAGTTTAAAATTCTGTAAAAATTGAGCTGAAAAAAGTTCAAAATGTCTGTTGACTTGGCACGTAAAGCTAGTTTAGATATTCATTCAATGGGATTCGTAGTTTCTTTATTCATTTCCTGGAGGCTTTTCTTCGTCTTTGGGTTCGTTTTCGTTTTCGTCTTCCGGTTCGTTTTTGGGTTCATCTTTCGGTTCGTTTTCGTCGTTTGGTTCGTTTTTGGGTTCGCCTTTCGGTTCGTTTTTGGGTTTGTCTTCGCACATGGGAATATCATCTGTGAGTTGTAGATTTAGTTCTTGGGCCGTTGCTTGATTCATTTCATTCTGTGATACTTCTAGAGTTTGTGGAGACGGTGAATTTTCATTAGCATTAGCATCGGGTTCTCCAGGTCTTTCTCTAAACTCCACTATGAAGGGACCATAGTCATAAATAAGATCAGCTGGCCAATTGATTGCCGGTGGATTTCTAGAGGGTAAGTTCGGGTTGTATCCATGCAACGTTTGTGTATCAAGGTCCATATCCATTTGTCCAAATTCATCCAACTCAATCTCACGTAAAGGCCCAATGAATGGTGGGCTGTTGTTGTCTGGCATGGCGCCCAAAAGGTCAAACGAATTGGGATTTAGCGCATTCATATTCAAATTTACATCCACAGTCACATTCACATTGTTATTGTCCTCCATATTCACATTCCCATCTTCATCATCGTCATCCTCTTCCACATCCTCATCCTCTTCCTCCGTAAAGAAATGTGGACTGTCGTCATCCGAATAATCAATTTCTTCCTCCAGCTCCTCCTCAAGCAGTTCGTCATCATGGAACTGAAGAATGTCATCCACCTCAAACAAATCCCATCCGAGATCATCGTCCGCGGCATCACAAGGTTTGCAAAGTTTAGTTTTATTATTTTCACAACGCGGAGCTTGGATGTCGTCGAAGGAGTCGTCTGCTTTCACTTGTAGAGTTCCATCTTTAAGCGTACATTTCGTGCTGAGGACAACCGTATCATCCCCCTCGCCCTTTTCGGTTTTAGCAGCTTTCTCTGTTGCTTTCAAAGCACCACTAGCAGTGCGTTTCATATTTCTGGCAGCAGCCCTTGCTGAAGTACTTGGCTTGTTATCGTTATCCTCCTCAATTGTATCTTGATTTTCCAATGGTAATTCATGATGGTTTTGGGGCAAACTTTCGTTAATTGAAGACTTTTCATCAGAACTGTCGACGCCCTCATTGATTGAGGATGATACCATTGTTTCTTGAGCACAAATATTAAAGTTAGCACGATTTGAGGTTAACGAAAAGCTTGATTGAATATATGTTAAAGTATTTCCATTGGCGGTTTCATTGAAAAGGCACAACTCTGTATCTATTTTATATTCTTCATTGTCCAAAGCCGCATTATGATCATCAATTGAAGGCATGTCTGGTTTGTTATCTGATTGATTACTGAGTCCATGCGATAGAAGTTCTCTCAATACTTCATCAGTTGAAGACTGCAACATAGCTCTTTCTATATTATCAAATTCCTTGATTCCTTGCGATATTAGTTGTTGAAATATTTGATCAGTTACACAGTTTAAAACCTCCCCTTCAATGTTATTGATTGATTGGAGTTGATTCTCAATACCCTCTGAAACGATTTCTCCCAATTTATTCTCAACTTCAGACTTCATAGCCGACTCTTCAATTTCAATGGCTGATTCTATCTGATTTTGAGCTCTGAGTTCATCAGCGAAAGATTTTATAATAGTATCACCAATATCGATAAATTCATCCAAACAATTATCTGGATCATTGAGATCACTTTCCATAGCATCTGCATTTGTATTCTCTAGGAATTGTTCAATATCCAAATTCTGTGAAAATTCTTTGTCTTCATTGGCTTTCGACTCCATAGTTTCAGTTCCAAGCTCAATTTCGTTCGACGTTTCCGATAGTCCATTCTTATTGCCAGTATATACTTCATCTGTTGCCTCATTTATTTCTCTAGCTTCTGCTTGCGATTCCTCTTGCGTATCATTAGATGAGACTACCGAAGCCTGATTTCCATTGTCATACATATGCTCCTCCATATCCTGCTCTAGACTCTCGTTCTCCAACATCTCTAGAAGCATGTCCACAACTGTATTATCATCGGCACTGTAATACATGGAGCTACCAGTTGCATTGTTTTTATTCTCTGGTGAGGCAATAGCTTCGTTGTTGTTGTTTATCGGATTTGGAGGAGTTCCACTCTGCTGATCCTCTGACATATAACCCACCTCAAATGTGGTGCTAGAAATGTTCTGAGCCAAGCTCTCGTCACATTCAAGCGACTCTGTACAAAATGTTGTGCTGGAAATTGTTTTATACAGATTACGATTCAATTTGGTTGTCTGATTTTCAATGGGCTTAGCGCGTTTGGTGTGGGGCGAGTGAATTACTGGATGACGCACATCATTTGGGCTAGCGTATCGGCGCTTGTGGCCGGCGGTGCTACGTGGAGACGTGGGCAGCGAAACCCACAGACGAGAGCTGCTACCACGTTTCTCAGCCTCAAAGGTGCAGACAGCCGATAGATCACTACTCTTCACCTGAACACTCTTCAATCTGGAAGCCATTAGGGGTTTGGATTTGGTGTAGCCACGCGGCTTACTGGCATTGCGTATATTCTCTTGTACAAAGTTGCGCCTCTTGCGAGGACTGCTACGGAGAGACGTCGACGATGACGACTCACTGCTGTCCAGTCGCCTATCCCAAGATCGGGACAGACGTGGCGTCTTACCAGGAATCACACGAGCATGCGCCGATGAACTGGCTGGCGCACTAATATCATGCTGGGAAAAGGTAGACGGACGTGGTTCGCTGGTGAACTGGAAAAGATGACGAGTTGGTGGCGTTGCGTTGGTTGGACTCTTATAGATGTGCGTGCATGTCTCAAAAGTTTCCTCTGTTCCAGAGACCATGAGCTGTAGTTTACAGGGTGTTAGCTTGTTGCGAATGCTCTCATCAATTCTGCCGAAAATGGACTCTCTTTCCTTAAGATTATCCGCCTCGATGCTGTCGAGTATATCACGCTCCAATGGCGAAAACATATCACTCGAAGATTCTCTTTGCGGTGTAGCAAGCTCATCGGAGCTTGCAGTTGGCTCTGCCGACAATGATATCTCAGTTGTACTGGCGCTTTCGACAATATCCCCCATATCGTTTTCATTCTCATCAACGTCCTTTTCATCGCTAAGTTTGCACTCAATGTGATGTTTTCCTTTAGGCTTCAGTCGGAATACGAGAGGCACAGGTGTTACGGGTTTCTCAATATCACGCTTCTCTTCCTGATCAATGTCCCCGTGTGATTCATCGCCGACTTCTTGCGATTCCTCATCTGTGCTCAAATCCTGCGGCTCAAAGCGTTGAGGTTCTGAAACTGATACAGTATCATCGGCATTGGGAATATTCTCCAAGCTGATAGCACGGAATAGAGAACCACTTTCTATAGAGTCATCCGAAAGAGGTTCTTCAGCGATAGTCACTTCTCGTAGCTTTTTAGTGGTAGCAACCAGTTTTTCAAGATTTTGTCCTGCCACACACAGACTCTGCTCGAATTCTTCCAATATTTTCGGTATTTCAGCAACAGCTTGTTGGCGCGAGTCACCAGTGACGGATGGTATATCATGAGTGTTGCTAGATAATGGCTCTTCATAATGGCCCTCGCCCGTTGCCTCAGATTGGTAATCTGTGACAGGTTCATTCAGTGATCCAGCTCCATTATTCGAATTTCCTTCTTCATCATAAGATTGCTGCTCCCGTAGCCAACCATAAGCTCTCAAAGTTTTATCTTCCTGTGCATCCAACGAAATGGTCAATGTATGCTCTGGAGTCTCTGGACTTTCCTGCTCCATTTCTTGCTTCGCACCAAAGTACTGGACATGATCCTGCCACAACTCCTGGAACTCCAATTTGCGACGCTGACGATCGTCGCGCGACATCAACTGACGTTCAGCCTGTTGCTGCTCCTCGGGATTATGGGCAAATTGTTGAGTTATCTCGAGTGTAATGCGACGTTCAGTTAACGGTTGCTGCGCGTTCACATCTGCGGCTTGCTCCTGCCAGTTGCCAAAGTTCCAGACTTCGGTAAGATCAGTCCTAGTCTTATCATTCGGATCGATATCCGGTTTCTTGGCTGAATGAAGTGGAGGCGCACTAGATGCGCTGGCAGCAGGACTTGTGGGCGTTGTTAAATCGCTATTTATGGTTTGAAGTCCTGGGACATAGTTCACATTAGTCGATTCCTCCGAGAAGTTGAGGTTCTCCAGTTGCTTGAGAAATTGGCTGCTCAATAGAATGGAGCTCGTTTGAGTGCTAACATGACAGGGCATTCTAGCCATTGGCTGTCGAATATACAGCCGATCCTCGTAGTCCTCTTCGTCGTCCAATTCGGTTAGCGTGGTCAGTTGCCGTGGTGAAACCGGAAAGCTGCCCGGGCAGCTGAGCCCATCATCTGGCTCCTCGCCACTGCTGCTGGCAGCACTGCGACGCTGCAGCCCCGGCTTGAGGCGTAGCAGCTGCTCGAAACAGAAGTGGCATAGCTGCTCGTACCGGGGCGTGGCAAAGATCTCCTCATAGCTAATCACACGCTGTATTGGTCTATAGCGAATGAAATCCACTTTAGCCGGCAGATGTTTGTGCTCGGTACGTGGAGCCTGACGGGGCGAATTGAATCCAAAATGGGATAGAGTGCGATATGGAGGCGGTATACCGTTGGCCAGCTGCAACGGACGACGTGGAGTAGGAGATGATTCGTTAGTGGTGCCTGTACTGGAAGTGGTACTGGAGCGATTGTTACGATAGTAGCCCACATTTTGCAAATGCTCCGAGTGCAAAGCGTGCAAGAGCACGGAACAAATTTGGGGCTGACAACAACGACCCAAAGACGCAGCCCCATAGGCATATGAATAAAGATCTCCCTGCAACATGGCAATTGGTGCTGCTTGAGACTCTGGGTTTACTGGCAAGTCAACATCATTTTGCTCCTGAATATAGGGACTAGAAGAAGGAATTGCTGCGTCATTAGGATTAGTAAAAGCTGAGAGCAAATCACGACGACATTTGGTAGCATTCTGAATATGATTCTCCTTGTCCAACTCATCATAGACTACGTCGTCATTATTCTTGTTTCCCTGGACATCGACAGTATCAGGAACAGTGTCTTGATCTTGCAAATCTTGTAATCATGAAAAAGGCAAAATGGGTGCATCAGTATGTTTTGCATAGCTCAGTCAATGACTAGGTTGCAAGACTTACTCACTTAGGCGCACCTCAAGCATAAGGCCAGCAACTCGAGGCTGCGGCTCTTACAACTTGCAACTCGCTGATAATACCTAGATATACATTTAGATACATAATAACAGAATATTGACTATCTATAATTTTAAGAAATAGGCGTGAACCCAAAAACCAAATGGGTATCAAATATATGACTTTTGATATCTATATGGACTATATTGATGGAGGTTAAGTTGATATAGTGGACGAACGTAAGAGGTCCAAGTCTACAGTCTAGGTTAGGTAGGTGCATATTTATATTAAATAAGTGTTTTGGGGCTAGTTATTAACATCAATAAGAATGGAATGGGATTCATTATTAGTTTGAATATGTACAAATGCTGTCCAAGAACTTGAGTACAATTGAGTACAATAGATATATATTTTTGGGTTAGGGCATATATACGAAGGATCTCAGCAACTGAGATAATGTATACAACTTGTTCGTTACCTCGGCCAGTTGGTGGCTTGCGATTTGTTGCTGTATGGGAGCGTTCGCCGTTTATAAAACTAAGTGTTGCTAAAATAGTATTCAGAATTAAACATAAAGTCAAACGTATTTCAGAGCATCAAAATAAGCCTTAAAAAAATTCGTTGCATTATGTGATAGATCAAAAGACATAACATAAAGAATAAATGTAAATATATTGTGAGTGTGTATTAAAATAATCACTACTAATCATGCATCATGTTCTGTGTGTGTATGTGTGTGTGGAGTTGTAGCATAAGCTTTCACATTTAAGCAATTTATAGAAATAGCAATAAACAAATAACAGCTGCAGTTCTTCTAAATAAAAATAAATGAAAATGTGCAAGAAATTTGTTGAGTTGTAAAATCTAATTTAAAAATTTCAGCTGTTCATTATTTAGTCGTTAAAAATATCGTTAATTTGATGTACTAGTTCATTAGTTGTTTATATATCGATAGTCGGTAGAACGAATCGCTCACAAACGAGCTGAGCAAAAGGAATTGTTCACAAATGAGCAAATCGTTCATCAGCGATCAGTAAATCAATTCAGTGTAATCGAACTAATTCTGAACGATAATTCTTGTGAGCCGGCTCGACAAATAAATAAACAGTAAAAAATAAATAACAAGCTATATGTTTACTGCGCTCTGCTTATGTTAAAAATAATGACCAATGTCGAAGCAGCAAGGCGAAATGTTAATTAACAGAGCATAGGTGGTGCATGAACAACATATTAGTTTTATGAATTGCCATGAGATTATGCATAAACAAATTTAGTTCACTGCTCTATAAACTATGCACAGGTATTATTAATATTATTTATTTCGTGTATCATTTTTTACTACACACTAAATCTTTTTTTTTTTTAGGGGGCTGCACTCACCTCTAACAATAAATGTAAGTTACTAAACTTTTGGTTTATTTGACAGTGTGTGTGTGTAGAGAGATTTAGAAAGCGCAGCAGCAGCAGCAAAGTACACACACACACACATACAGATGTACATTGTATTGATAGTAGAAAATGTAGTAGTAGTAGTAATTGTATTTAGTTGAGCTTCGCTGTTGTATTTTCTGGTTTTTTTTTTTTTTTTTTTTTTTTTTGTTAATTTTTTTATCCTAAACAATTTCTAAAAACATTTTAGCTACTCTATAAAAATTTTAGCAGCCAATTTATTTGCGCTTGTGTTTAGCTAAGAATTTATCGAAAAAAATATATAAAAGATCAACAAGTAAGTAAACAATTTTGAATTACAATTTGCCAAATTATTTTTGAAAAAATATTAAAAATCATGAACAGATTAATCAACGAAATCATTTACTAAATACATACAAAATAAAACTGCAGCTGTATAGAGATGTTATCAAGGGAAGTAGAATTTAACTAGTAATAGTTTTTTGCTATTATTTTAGTTTGGCAAAAATCAAAATCGAATTCACTTTATGCACGTCGTACAACAGGTGAGTCCTTTAGATAACAGACAGAATAACAAACAGTGTGGCGGCAAATAGACAGGGTTGGTAATTTAACAGAATGTTGTGTAACAGAAGAATTGTTTACAGAAAGGAAGTCGAAACTGTATCAAGTGCTACGAGTACTTTTTTGTTAACTTTTTAATTATTAATTATTAAAAATATGTTTTTATGAAGTTGTAATTATTTTTGTTTGTTTGTGTGTGTGTATTGAAGTTTTCGGAGTAGAGGCAACAAAAATAAATAAAAGGAAAATAGCATATAAGTAAAATTATAGGTTAGAATAAAATACCTAAGATTAATTTTAATTAAATATTGTTAAAATTAATATGAATATACTACTATACTTAGATAATAATAAAGAATCAAATATAAGTTTAAAAATGTACAAAATAACATAAAACAAAATGCATTAACAGAAAATAAATAATATAAAACGAACCAATCTCAATTTCACAAATCTGAGGAATCAGTTTTGGAAAGGACACAACTAGTTTAAATGTGTGTGTGGTTGGGTGTGTGTTTATGAGAATTCAATTATGTGAACGTAGACATAAAACAGGAGGAAACAATTTGGATTGATTATAGATCTGGACTTACCATCACTTAGCACAACCTCAGCCTGGCTGGGAATGGGCGCCTGTTGTGTTTGAATCTGTATGACTTGGTGTTCTAAAAATAAATGATAATTAAAATAAAATTTAGCCATCATTGAAATTTCTCTTGCTTACCCGTTTCTGGTTCGCTCTGTGCGTGTTTTGCATGTGCGTGTGCACCCGCTGCTTGCATCGAGTTGAGTGCCTCTGATTCCGAAAAGTCTGTATCGGTATCTGCAAATTATAAAATAAATAAATATGTAATTAATATTTTTCTAGGGAATCTTAACTTGTGGCTGCTGCTATAATGTAGCGTGACACTGTTAAATTAACAGCTTTACAAAACAGCATACAGCGCACTGTTAAATGACTGCATATCCTGTTAAGTTAACAGAACAGTTGGCATGGGCAAGTGCACCTCTGTTAAATTAACATACCACTTTGCAGTAACATGTGCATGTACACACTGTTAAATTAACAGAAAGTTCTGCTCTCTAATCTCTTTCTCACTCTCTCCATACTTACATTCCCCATGAATGCTCTTCTTTTTGCGCTCAACGGTGCGCTTGTATTCGTTCAGCTCATCGTCTGTTACATTATCGAAGGGGTTCTTGGCATAGGGCGCCTTATAGACTGTCGCATTATGTTGGAATCCTCGCTGTATGATGCCCTTGGAGGCGGCACCCATCAGCACAACATGATCACCAGTTTGCGAGACGGTTGCATCTTTGATGCGATTCGCCTCATCCCAGGTAACGCCCTCCAAAATGTGCGATTGTGGGCCGGCAGAGATTTTGTCTGCGCGTCGATTGTCCTTAATCTGTTTTCAATAAGATTATATAGTAATGTATAATATATAAATTTATTGCTATTACTGACTTGCTGTTGCACTCGCTTAAACTCCTTGGTTGTTGTTCCGGCTGGCACAAATTGCAATGGATCCTCGATGCGCACCGGCGTCGAGTGGGTGGGCGAACCCTCGGCTACCCACTATTATTTTAAGGGATATTACGTGGGGTTTTTTCGGTTTTTGTTTTGTTTTTATATGGGGGTCATTCAACGGAGTTAAGCAATTGAAAAAGAAAGAGAAAGAAATTTGTTTTAGATTTAAATTTCAGATTTTTGTAAAAAGAAATTTTTAAATTTGCTATTAAATATAGTAGTTAAAAGTTCACATATTTCAGATATATAATTAGATTTTACAATACAATATGATATATGCCCCATCATCATAGATAATTGCACTCAAATGCAAGCAAATTGGTTAAACAGAGTTTAAACTTGTTTTAAATGCAAATTATAAATATTGAAATAAATGAAATACAAATACAATACAAGCATAAATGATTTTGTGCCTTAAGAAATGTAAGTAAATAAAAAGAGGACAGTTGACAAATTAAAATTTCGAAATCATGCAAAGAAAAAGATATTTTCATGTTAACATAAACAAAACAAAATGATTGAAATGAGAGAAAATTATAAAACATGCAGAATCTGATGGATATTAGGAATAATTATTTGAATTTAGCATTGCTTAAACATATACATATATATTAGTTAGCATTTAATAGTTGTTAACAAATGTCTTTCTCTTTCTTTGCATTGTTTTCATTACTTTTTTCTTTTGTAATTTAAGGCAAATAATAATAATTGGAATTTCCCTAAAGAGGCACAAAATCATCTATGCGATTTAGTTTTGTATTTCATATATTTATTTGATTAATGCACAATTACAATTTATAAAGCATATTAATATTGGTTTGATTTTTGTTTGTTTTTGTTTTTGTTTTTGCTGCATTTGGGTTACAAAATATCTATGCATCATAATTTGTTTTTAATTTAAATAAACTTTGTCAATTTGTATATCTCTTTTTGCTTATAAGCTACATATATATTTAGATAGACATTATTATGCGTGAATATTAATAAAAGCAAGTATAAAAGTGGGAGCACAGAGAGGCTATAAATATTTTCTATGGATGGTTGTTTGGAATGTTCTTTTGTGTGGGTATTATTTCATTTTGGGATTATTTCATTAAAAATTTCCCTAGCTGTATTAGGATTTTTGTGTGTTGCTAAAAATTAGTTCATGAGCTAATTTCCCTCGATTTCCTTGAGGTTAGAAACTTTTTGTGTTTGTTGTTGTGTCGTTTGCATATCTTCAAATGTTATGATCTCTACCTTTGTGATTTTCTTGGGATCTGGAGTGCCAGTCTCGAGTACCTCGACCTTCTGGTAAACATTGGGCGAATTCAGCCAGCGACTGCGATCGCCGCCCTTGCGTAGATCTCCCTTCTTCCAGATACTGTGGAAAAGAAAGCAGATGGTTAAAATCCATTTACCTCCAATTAGTTAACAAGTTTTTCATACCCCTGTCGGAAGAGCTCCTCCTCCTCCAGCAGGTAGCCCAATGAAGACACAGCTGGTGGCAGTTCAACGTCGTTCTTCGGCTTTGGCGGATCTGATTTGATCAGTGGATGACGGTAGATGTAGCCAGTGCGATAGCCAGCATTGTCCAGCATGCGCATTAGTGCTTCAAACTCGGCGCCACCCACACGCCACTTGGGCGGGCTGCCAATCTTGGGCGCGGCAGCCTCCTCTTTGCCGGCACCGGCAGCACCGTCCTCGTCAGTTGTGATGGCAGCGAATTTCTTCTCCAAGTCCTCTGGTGGACGGCGTGACTGATCGTAGATCAACTTGCGCGATTCCTCAGGTATTAGCACAAGGTTGTCCAGGCCAACCGGAAGCAGCTTTAGCTGCGTCTCGCACGCCTGCACAATATGACAGGCGGCAAAGAAAGCCTCCTCAATGGTCTCGCCGCAGCAGAGGGCGCCATGGTTGGTCAACAGCATGACCTTGGAGTTGGGCCCCAGACTGCGTACCAGGCGATCGCGCTCCTCCGCGTCAAACAGACCGGTATAGGCGTGTGTGCTAATCTCGCCCAACACGCAGGCATCCTTGGTGAGAGCCAGCAGGCCCGTCTTTAGCGAAGAGATTGCCACAACGGGACTGCAGCCAATATAAATGGCGCAACGGATATCTGGACGCGCTGCATGCACCACCGAATGCAAGACAAAGTCTGCAATTAAATCAACGTTTAGTTCAATTCAATTGGTCATCATTAAATTTCGCATTTCCACTTACGGCTCTTGTTCACGCCAAAATTGGTTGTGCCCTGCTCGACGATTTGGCCCTGCATGTCGACTTTGTTGAGGGCTGAGGCAGTTATCTCATGGTACAGCAGGCCATAGGGATTGACCAGGAAGTACTCCTGATCGACCTTTAGGCGTGCCGTAATCTGTGCACCCAGACCCTGTGTCCAGCCGTACAGATCCAGCAGCCGGAATGTGGCAGCTAGTTTGCATCTGAGTATCTTCTCACCCTTGGCATATCCCATCGACTCCACGCCGCGTATATCATTGATGGGCACCATGCAGCTGCCGCTCTTGAAAACGTTGCTCACACGATTCACTGGCACTCCCACAATATCCGACAACTGCTGTAATATGCCACTGGCACCGGCGCTGCCCTCACGTGCCGAGTCGACAATGCGTTCCAGTTCCTCGCGAAACAGTTTGGAGCCCATGATGGCCTCTACGCGTTTGCGTCGCTCCATCTCCCGCATGTCCTGTAAGTTGGAGAAGTTTAATATTACATAAATTAATTCATCATCTTTCTATCTCTACAATTAATTACCTGTTCAATATCCGCGGGACGCGCTTTACTGTTCTCGTCATCCTCGCCCGCGGTTGGATCTATGCCATTCTGTGGCGGTTGCTCAACGTCAGTCATGTTTCAGTTAATTTATTTAAATTTAGTTCAAATGCTAAAAACAAAAACACAAAAAAATACGCAACTTTTTATTTTATTTACTTAAAGTAATACAAATTAGTTTTTATATATCTATAAATATTTTGCTTTCGACAGGCTCAGCTGAAAATTTTCAACTGACCTTAAAAAGTGCAGGCCAAAACTTTTGGTTTCCGTTATGAACAAAATAGGGTGTCAAAAGAGAGACACCGACAATGCGAGAGAGAGCGAAAGAGAGAGAGTGTAGCCAAGTAGCACTTGTGTCGTCGCCTGCATAAAACTGCAAGGCGAGGCGCAAATGAACCACCCAACATCGTTTATTAAACAACCAAAAGCGCGACAGAGACAGATTGATAGAGAGCGGAAGAGAGAACGCGCGTTGACAGAGCAACTGAACAATTTGTATGTGTGTGTATGTATGTATTTACACATGCCTGCGTGCTGTGTGAATGGCAAATACATAAAAGCACTTGAACTAAAGTTCCGAGAGCGGCCGGCTGCTAGCCTTCCTTTCCATTTCGCTTTCGCTTTTTTGGTATTTTTATATATATATAAATATACTGCATATTTTACAACCCCAACAAAATTCTAATTTGGGATAAAAATAAATTTCGTTTGCTTGACAGTTGCTGAGGCAAAATTATTGGGAAAATATGTGTTGAGTTCTTTTTTATACATTATTATTATTTTCTTTTGGGGTGTGGATCCATCCAGCGCAGCAGAGCGAACCGCTGCCACTGCTGCTGCTGCTGTCATTGCCCACGAGAGTGTGAAAAGAAACGTGCGGCAACAGAAATGGAAAAAACAAAACTATTTTAAGATCATTTGCTTTTATTTAGATATGTATAGATATATACATGTATGTATATGTATGCATATATGTGGTTTTAACGAATTTAAATTGATGCCTTTAAAACCGAATGAAGAAAGTGGCAGCAAAATACAAACACGTACGCACGCACAGGCAAACACACACAAACAACAACTACAACAACAACTTATACGACGCTGCGCATCTCAAGCGTAAAGAGCAACGCGTTAGCGACGAACGGAGTGCAGCGACATTGCCGCCGCAGCAGCAGCGCAGCGCCACTTAAAACAAATAAACAACTAGAGACAGAAAGAGAAAGAGCAAGAGAAAGAAGGAAAAATAAATGCGTTGCTCGTTTAATTTTAGGCGTGGTGGTTGCTTCATAAGAAATTAACCTTCAATTTGGATTTGGTTGTCAGATTTAGATTTTGTATTTATTTATTTTTTTGTAAAAATTATATGGAATTATTAAATTATTATTTATATATTGGCTTATAGTTTGCTTTTTATATTTATTTTTTATATATTATATTTATTAAAATCAATCTGGATTTCGTTGTCAGTTGTGGGTCTTTAAAAAAATATTTGTAAGATTTAAATATATATATATTTTTTTTATTAATTTATAATAGCTAATAGCTTTTTTTATTAATATAGTTTCTTGTTTATTTATAGACTTTTTATTTATATATAACTTTAGTAATGTATATATGTATGTTTGTATAAATCAAATTCTACCTACACTTCTACTGCACAGCCATGGCATATAAACAATGCCAATAGAAATGTCAACGACACACATATTGCTCAGATTACCAACACAAATGCAAATGCCTGCCCATATAACCGATTGCCAATACAAATGGCTACGCTTTGCGCCTTCCTATATTACCGATTACCATTACTAATGCACTTGCATATGCATACACATACGGCTATAGGCGCAGCCTTGCCATATCAATTGAAAGCGCATCTTCTACTTGGCTTACGCCAATTTAAAGAAAAGCACACGACAAGTGGCAGCGCCTTTGCTCACCCCCTTCTTTTTTATCTCTCTCAATGCTGTTCTACCGTGCATAAAAGAAAGTATGCAACTCAAACGGTGCCGCGGCTGCTTTGTACTTGGCTTATTGTATTGTCATTATTATGGAAATGCGCAAAATAAACCTTTGCTCATTGTTGTTATTATTATTGGCTTGACAATTGCACATCGCGTATGTCAATGTGCATATTTAAAGTGGCATTTTATATACATACAAACATATGCATAAGTATGTTGTATGTGTGTACGCATGCATGTATTCTTTCTTTTTCGCTGTCCATGCTAATTATGACGTGTGTCTGTGCTGCTTTTGGCTGACTGAACGTGTGCCACACCATTTGAGTGACAGCCTTAAAAATGGGGAGAAGGTGGAAGAACAACAACGAGCGTTGCCAGGTAATTGAACTTTTATTCCAGTCTGTGTGTGTGTGTGTGTGTGTGTGTGGGCGCAAATCAAAGAGCATATAGTTTGGAAATAAACGTTTTTCAAGTGCCCAGTTTTAAGTGGGCAGTAAGCAATAAAACTTAACGAGTCATCCCGCTATAGCGTAGGAGTTTGCGAGCATCCACAACGGAATATTGCCCTACAACACATCTGTGTGTGTGTATGTGTGTGGGTGTGCAAGTTCAGGCTGCGTAGGTGTGCTGTCTGCTTGATTAAGGCGAGAATCTGCACACACACACACACACACACATCAGAGGGGCACCTAATGCATTCTATATACAAAATAAGTTAAACTGCAACGATTAAACAAGCCTCTATTTTCAGTAACACAGGTTGACTTTTATGGCTAAATAGCACCAGGCCGTCAACAAAAAACAAAAAAAAAATACTGTAAAATTTGTTATTTACACACAGCTCTGACAGTTTATTGACCTTTCAACAATGCCAATGCGAACGCGAGCCGCTGCATTGGTTCTCTCTAATCGGATTTCTATGCGCTTGCACGAGTCACGATACACAAATCTAATTAACTTATCATGTGATGCGACGACAATGTGATGTAAGCTAAAAACAAAAACAAACAAAAGCAAAAACAAAGTTAATTTTCACTGCTGCACGCATACGAAAAGAGACTACGTCTTCGGTTGACCTTTTTGCACGGAAAGGAAACAAACATCAATTAAATTTAGGCGTTGCTGACGACAACTTCAGCTGTCTCTAGCTGCCTCTGTTATCTGCGCGCAGTTCATATTATGCAATTATATATTATATATATATTAGTCTATTTGGCAGTTAATGACACGCCCATTATTTTAATGAGCCCGAGCTAAGCTTGTGTTGAATGCGAAAATTGAGTGACAGAAAGCAAACAAAAACAATACAAGTTTATGTTAATAACATGATTATGTTATATACAACTGTTATTAACATAATTGCAACTATGATGTTACTATTTACAAAGGCTTTAACATTTTCAAGCTTGCAAAAAATTAACAGCAGAGAGTAAATGCTAAGAACATAACACTGTTAAAGTGACCATTGCTATTACATTACATTTAAAGCATATGTAATTGATTTTGAAGTGCTCAGCATACTGAAGAGTCCAATTATGCATCCAATTTATTAATTATCACACTCACACATACACTCAAAGTTTAAGGCGTTCAATTAACCCCAAAAAAGCGAACACCCTATATATAATTTTCACACATGTGCGAGCGTTAATTAAATTTCTCAAGTATTCATTCAGCGTTACTAGAGAAATCTTACGTAATATTTCAGACAACTAGAGCAGACAACAATAAGCCAGCAATAAGGTCATCATCATAATCATCATCATCTCAAAACCTCATCAATGAATCCATTCAGTATTCATAATGCAACAAGTCACTCAGTCAGTGGAGCAGCAGCACCAGACGCGCTGTTGAAAGATCATTCAGTTTACTGAAGCAACAACAATAATAAATATGAAAAAAAAAGTGCAATAAACTGTAAAAGCTGAGCGCTGAGTGTAAATAATGAGAATTTGTCGTTGCCAGTGACAGATAACCTTCTACTAGAATTAGAATTAGAATTAAAAGCTGTCTGAGCAATATGCAAAGAATCTCCTACTGCCATTACATAAGGTCTACAGTTAAACATCATATTCAAAAACCTATTTATAAACTGACTAGTAATTGAATTAAATGAATAAAAAAAAAAAAACCTAAAAATGTACATAAGCATCTCACTTAGGGCAATTACAAATCGTGACTAAAATATAATCAATTTAATATGGCTTTTAATTTGCATCCTATTAAATAAAGTATATTGTAAAACAACTTTTAAAAATGAATAAATAAGTGTGAAAAAACCTGATTTTATTTTAATTATATTATCATGAATTATTTTTTTTAATTAAAAATTTCTTTACGAATTCCTTCCATACATTAGTTACATATAAACAAGAAAAAAAATGAACTCTACTAAAAATGAAAATGTGACCTCGAAGCACATATCGTGATTTAGACAAACAGCTCGCACAAGCAGTCGTGGCCGAGTGGTTAAGGCGTCTGACTCGAAATCAGATTCCCTCTGGGAGCGTAGGTTCGAATCCTACCGGCTGCGATAGTACGAAAAATTTTTTATAAATATTTTGCTACACAAACAAATCAAAGTTGATTAAATTTATTTATAAATTCCTTTAGATTTTTATTACATATTAATATTAAATGCAGAAAATTCAAACAAGTATAAAAGCCATCAACTCTTGTTGCTCAAACAACATGCACAAACAACTGCTTGGATTTAAGCCAGCAGCATTTCAGCTGTTTCCGTGGTGTAGCGGTTATCACATCTGCCTAACACGCAGAAGGCCCCCGGTTCGATCCCGGGCGGAAACATGTCAAAACTTTTTATTTTATTTTTTAAAAATTAAAATATAAACAATACTAAATGTATATTATGTGCAAAATTCATATATTTTCTCATATAAATTAGTACTATATATTTATATTTATGAATCATAAAAAACAGAAGTATTATATATATGCCTTCATTGACAATTTAAACCTTGAGGGTTTTAATTATTATTATTTTTAAATATTAAAATATATATGTACTTTTATAAATAATTCAACATATTTGTCAACGAATTAGATTTAGTTTACTGCTGCAGTAATGTAGAGCATTTAGCTGAAACACACACAACTGTTTCCGTGGTGTAGCGGTTATCACATCTGCCTAACACGCAGAAGGCCCCCGGTTCGATCCCGGGCGGAAACATGTTACAACTTTTTTGGTGTTTTTAATACAAAATTATTTTTATTTTAACAAAGTTAGTGCTCTCTATAAATATGTTTTTATTAAACTCTCAAGCATACAATCGTGCATGGAATTATTAATTACAATAATCAGTTGTTACTTTGTGTGCTCTATATTCTCATCACATCTTGCCAATTTTGTTTGTTTTGCTAAGCAGCTCGCTTTCTTGATCTCTTTTCCCTTTTCTTTGTCCGCCTTTCTGCACAAAGTCACGCGACTCACGCAAGTCGCGTGCCTTGCATCACAATACAATAAAATTCTCTCGAGAAGTTGGCGCCGTTGCATGACGCCAAAGATTAACCGATCTCTGACAAATGAAATGCTTTAAGTAAAAATATAGCATACATAATACAGGCATGAAAGCAGGCCAGACAAGTGAACAAACAGCAAACAGACAAACGGAAGGACAGACGGACGGACGAACAGACAGACAGACAGACAACACACTTGGCGTGTGTCAGTCTGACAACAACAAACAGTTCACTTGTTCACTGTTTATATTTATGATCGGTTTGGTTCTTCGTTTTAATTTCTTTTAAAAACGGGTATATTGGTTCGTTTTGCTGTGCCTGCGTCTTGAACAGTTTTATCGCTTCAGAAGCAAAAATTTAAAGGCTGAACGGATAACAACTGGAATGAGATCTTATCTAATGAAACTGTTCCCTATATACATTCCCCAGAGAGTATTACATAGTCGTTTACAGCCCTCTGTAACATTACAGCTCTTTCTTATTGCATTATTTTCGCTTCTGTCCGCCAAGATTTATATGAGTTTTCAATGGACAAGTGGCATTAGACAGACAGTTGAATGTTTCATATGTTTTATATATATTTGTCATCGACCCAATCTCAAAGTCTTGACTCACTTGGAGAACAGCCAACAAACAAGTTGATATCATTTATATATAAATCTGTACATGAGAGATAACATACATATCTATGAGAAATTTTAAGAACTAATTGATATTCACGCATTGCCCAATTGACGGAGGGTGAAAAGATGCTATTGTTAGTGTCGGCTGATTGTTAAGAAATCAATGGAAATTTATTTAAATCAATCAATCTTAACCGAAGTATAGAAGACATATGATGGAAATATATAGAAGACTTATGCGTGCAACAATAGAGAAGATAGCTTAGGCAATACAAATTTTTTAATGTTGAATGATTAGCCAATATCTTTCTTATATGACTTCTTATATTCAGTTAAAGAATTGGAGAAGATTTACAATACAGAACAACATTCAACTAAATAAAATATTCAACAGAAAGTGAAACTGTTTTGGGATGAATTTAATTCTGAGTAATAATCAAATTCATCAGATAGAAAATTGCTTGAGCAACTACAAATGTTTACTCTTATAATTTTTGCTTAGTAAAACCAATTTTAATCTTGTTAAAACACATTTCGATCTTTTCATTCTCAACTGCTTCCGCATGTCCATTTAATAGGAAACCTGCACACCTGCAGACCTATTAAAGTTCCATTAGGGCTTGCAAATATGTACCTACTAATCGTTCACCAATTACTAACGGTGCAAAGGCCCTCCTGCACACTGGCATTCGCCCATTGATTATCTGGGTCTCGAAATAACAGTTAACACGCGCATTGCCTGTGACACATGTGTGTCGCAGTTGACGTGTTGCCAGGCGGACAGACAGCCATGGCCCACAAGTTCAACGACACGAAACCAGCCTTAGAGGAGACAGCTTAAGCTAAGCAAACCAAACCAACCACCGTCCGCCCAGCGTATAAACTGAATTCCACGCGCCAAAGTACCTGCCACACCCCGTCGCACATGCAGCAAAACCTTTACTTTTTTATGTGAATATCCCTCTCATTTGTTGCCTCAGAATTCGTCGCCGGCTGCCATTATGAAATTTGTAGCCGGCGCCAAGCGCCAAATCATAGAAATGTGGCGCCACGGTTAGCCAGAAGAGAAGGAGCGAGAGAGAGGGAGAGCGGACGACTATTTGAGCAGCGCGTATAACACGCGAGAGTCGTAAAAAGGTCCTTGTTGGCCTGCGTTTTAGGCTGAAATAACAGGAAGTGACGTCACCGCTCTTGGAGGGTGAAATATTTATTTGCTACTTTAAGTGCTTTGTTTTTATCGTGGGGGGTTGAACAAATACAGATAGAGTGAGAGAGGGTGGGGGGCGTTAGTGGGGTTGTAGAGCATATAATTAAGCATGATGTCATGTTGTAGAAATGCGAGAGGTCATTGACATAACGCCGCGTGCTTAGGCAGGACACAGGAAGCCATACAATGTTAAGGACAAACATGGGAAATATGTAATAAATAAACAAAAATGAAATTATGATTATGGGCAGGTGAATGGGAAGCAATTTTTATTTATACTAATATTTTTTGCTTTTATTTTTTTAAATTTATATTAATTTTTATTTATTTATTTTTAGATATATATATACATTTTGTTTTTAATATTTTGTATACTTTTATTTATTTTTGTGTAAATATTTTTAAATTATTAATTTTTTTAATTATAATTTTTTAAATTTTTAATTAAGTAATTAATTTGTATTATTTTTATTTATTTATATTTTAATACTTATTATTGTTATTTTTTTTTTTTTTTTTTTTTTTTTAATATTATGACATATTTTGAATCTTTTTGGATTATTCTAATCATAGGTTTTTCTCAATTTTTATTTTTAATAAAAAATAAACCTATTTTCTACAATTAAATTTAATTACTCCACTCATTTATCAAATCAAAACGGAATTGTAGAGTAAAATGTAAAAAGCTTTAAGCCAAATACAATAAAGCACTACTCATTTTGCTCTTTTATTGCCAAGTGGGTAAAAAGCATTAAAGCAATGTATGATAATAAAATCAAATGGAGGAAAGAAACCGAGGCAAAGGCAGAGGCAAAAAAAAAAAAGTTGTTTCGTCTGGTTCAATGACCCATTTATTTAACTGCTTGGCCTGGATGACCGTATGGATAGATGTATGGATGGATGGACATGGGCCAAATGCGCACAAGCGAGCTCAACTTTCAAGTTGAACGAGAAAACGGGAAAGAAAAATAAAAACTATCATCGTTTTTATTATATGTTCAGTCCCAACTCTAACTCCATCCCCTCCCTCTTTCACAATCTTTTATCCGTTTTGATACTCGTGCCAAATCGCAAACAGTTAGAGTCTATCAAAAATTGCTTGAGCTGCGTAGTTTAAGCCTTGAATGACATAAACCATATGCACAAAGGAGCGTGTCTTTACATCATTTTACAGCTAGATTAACTCCAACTCTCTTTTAACTTAGTTATGATTATCTCAAAAAAAAATTTTTTATATTTATCTATTATAATTTTTTTTATTTTATTAATTAATTCCATAGTATTATTAGTACAATCCACATTATATAATCTACCATTTAATTTTACTGTCAAAATTTGACTTCTCAATGAAAGTGAAATGAGATTCCCAACCGGAATCGAACGCTTGAATAAATTATAAATGTTTGTAAATAAATATTTGGCAAACTAGCAACAGAAATGCAAATTCAACAAAAACTGGTTTTCGCCCAGTGACATCATTCGCCCAGTCTGCCGATTATTATTATTAAAAACGAGATATGACAAGAGTAAAAACTTGAGAAAATATAAATTGCAAACGACACATATCACTTAAGTTTTTTCCTCCCTTTTTTTTTGACAGTCAAAACTTAATTATGGCAATTATAATGCCATAAGTTCAAAGAGGAACAACAACAAAAATAAATGAAAAGAGGAACAACAACAAAAATAAATGAAAAACTGAGAGCTCAACTCGAAATGCGCTAATAAATGTTCTGTTCTCTGTTTCCATCTCTTTTTTGTTTCACTCCCTCTCTCTCTCTCTCCCACACTGCCCTGCGTGCCTCAAGCATATGATGCAAGAGAAATGTCAACAAGAAAAACGATAGTAGCTCAAGCGAGAGAGAGAGAGACAGACAGATTTCCAGCAGTGCCGCTGCTGAGGAATAGTGTAAAGTGTAAAGAGCAAAGAAGAGTGTAGATAAATCATTCACAATAATCATTTGCACATTTTGAAACGTAAATGTTTGCACGCCGATAACACGCAGTGAAGTCAAGAGTTATGTTGCCTCTTGGCACGTTTGTTTACTCTCCACTTGCGACTTATCGTTATCGATATTGAAGGCGAGTCCACGAGCAGAGAAAAGAAAATGCAAATAAATAAAACTCACCTTAAAACCGAATACTTTGCAATTTATTTTGTACAAGTTTCCTTTCTTTTCTGCCTGCAATAGAATACAGAGAAAACGCAGCATAAATAAAAATGTGTAATGAAGGTGAAGAAGAAGAGTAGAGAGTGACAAATAGTGACAACATTTTTATGACCCTCGCACAGCAAACAAACTAACCGCAAAATGCAGCATAAAAAATAAAACAAGTATAAATATGTTGCAGTCGGGCGCAACCGACTGTTTGATACTTTACTATGTATACATATATATACAGATATACAAATTTATATATATATATACATCTATGTATATATTTGTAGTCTAGGCAAGCAAAGCTGAAAATTATTGATGCCGCGCGTTCGCAACAACAACTAAGTCGAATGATGTCATGCAAATATTTTTAGCTAGCAGCGCGCGCGTTTAAATACTTTTTTTTCCGTATGTGTACAACACCCAAGGGGGTGGGGCTGGGACTGCTGCTGGCGTAAGAGAGCGACAGAGTGCGAGCGAGAGAAGAGTACGGCAAACAAAATAATTGAAATATTCATTGCCTGCCTCTGGTGTCAGGCTGGTAACTTATACGGCCATTTCCTTTTACACACACCCCCCCACACGCGCACGTACACCTATTTTAAAGGTGTTTCCAATTCATTATACTCCAACCTATTTTCATAAATAACTTTTGTAATAACAATTTCACGCTTTCTACATATTTTTGCATATTAATTGCAAGCACTTGATGAACTAATAATTTTTTGGTGTGTTTTTGTTTAAAAAATAAAAATTGATATACACATAAAAAGAAAAATAATTAATAAAATAAAATTTAGTCGAATTTCGCAAGCTATTTTATCTATATTTGTATTAATTTAAATTAATACTATGTTTTAATTTAAATTCCAATCTCTCTTGTACAGAATCGTAAAATTGCTATAATTATTCAAACTGTTTATAAACTCGTGTTTAACAGTGCTTTATAATTAAAATTTTCTCAAGTGTAGCAGTAAAACTGTTGGCCGTGTCCACTGTTTTCAAAACGCGCATTCATTGAATGCCAAACAAATAAAAAAGTAAAAAAAATTATTTAAAAAAAAAGCCGTTAAAGCGCATATCAAATGCCAAGTACCAGCCATATAGTTTCAGGAATTTAAAGGAATTTTACACACAATTTTTAATACAATAATAATAATAATAATGTTTAATAATAATGCGTGCATTGCATGCAATGCAACTGCAGCTGCTGCTACCGGTGTTAATTAACAATTTCATTTAAGAGCCTCGCTAACATGCTTGCCATTATTCACACTAAAAGAGCCGACGTCTAAATGTCTGGCAAGCAACTAAATACATACATAAAAGATAAACTAGAAAATAAAAAACTCTATGCATGCATAAAATATAAACTATAAAAGCCAACTATTATATAAGCAATTCCAGTTGAAATTTTGCTTTCGTGTGCTTCACAACATTTTGCATTATGAATTAATATGCAATATGATTTTGTGGCTGTTGTTGTTGTTGTTTTTGCTACAAGAGTTGTGGCCGGCCTTTGTCTATATTGTTATTGTTATTGTAGTTGTAAATTGACTTTTTATTATGCCGTTTGTGGCTCTTTTGTTGCAACATCATTGGTCTAAAGGCTTTATGTATTTATATATATAAAAAAAAAAAACGAGAGATATAAAACGAGTTTTTCTTTTATATTCATGTGATGACTTGAAGAGATGTATAAATCAAACACAAAAGAAACGAGTTTTATAGCAACCAGCTTTTGTTAGCTTTTTTTTTTCTCGAGAACCAAAACAAAATTCCAAACCAAAAGAACTGTTGTTCAAATGTTTTCAGTGTTGTAAATTATTTAAATTTGACAATTTCCCTTCTTCCTTCAATTTCTTCCTTGTTCCGTTTCCATTCACAGCTAAGCTTGTTTTTCTACATTTTCCAGCACGGTTGTTGACACAAAGCTCAGTAACTATATATTATTGTTTTTTTCCCATTGAAATTACATTAATCACATTGCAAATTGTGGCAATCAGCGACGATTTTCCCACGCCTCCATTTTAAGCTAATGAAAGGAAATTAACCCAAATATCCCAATTGAAATTTTAGCTCAGCAAAATGAGAACAAATGAAGATAATAATAGTCTTATATACTTTTAATTTAAGACAGTTTCAATTGGCAGACAGAGAGACCGAGAGAGGCTGCACAGGCTTTAAGATCTTTCTTTCTTTCTTTTGCTCTGAACTTGATGCAGGCCGTTTAATAGGGTATATTGTTTTAGTGATAATGTTTGTAATAGTGTTTGGTAATGACACATTGAGATTAAAGAATTTATATTAGAAAATAAAAAGCCCAAGATAATAGAACAATGGTATTCATTATATATTTGATTTCCAGACTGCATTTTCCAATAAAATTTGAAATATTTTAGAATAGAATGGAACTTGAAATAAAGATGTCTAAAACATAGGAGTATTCTGTCCCACTCACTAGTTAGGGCTTAGAGCTAAAAGCTTAGACTAAAAGCGGCTAGTAAATAAAAAAAAATAAAATAAATGATAGCTTAATAAAAATGGTAAATACCAAGATTAAAACTAATAAATAAAAAATATAAAATAAATTTAGACATTTATTAAATATTTGAGCTAAGCTTAGAGCATCTATTTGTCGTGCATTCATTCCTGGGCTTGTTTACTTCTTTTCTTTTTGTCTACATTTTTGTTCTTGGCCTCTGCGTACTCTGTGCTCGTTATATGCCACTCGAGCCCAGTCTCTTCCTCTCTCTCACACTCTCTTGCAGTCTGCCTCTCTCCTTCACAACACTTGGCCATGTATAATTAACAGCATGCTTGTCGTGCCTGAGCTTTTGCAGTCGTCACTCTCTGTCTGGCTGTCTGTCTGTTGTTTCTGTCCCCTGCGCTCTTGCGCCTTCTTGATATTTCTTGTAAGATTTAGTTATGCTGCTGCAGCGCATCAGAGTTTACTGTTATTGTTGTTGTTGTTTCACCAGCCTGTCTGTTGCAACTGTACATTTGTCTGTTGTCTCTGTTGTGTTATTGTTGTTGCTTGTATTATTGATGAGGAGCTGCAGGCAACAACAGCCACAGTAGAACCCAGAAACATCTCTTTTTAATCTCACTTCTATGGACATAGGTGTTTGTATATACACACACATAGTATGTGTGTGTGTGTATCGCACGTACGCTACTTTTTTTTTATTTATGCATTTGTTTGCCTCTCGCTTGATGCATTTGTCTAGCTGCAGCAGCGGCGGCTGCTCAATTGCCCAAGGCAAAGACGAGTTTACTTTACCTTTCACGCTCTCTCGCTCCCTCTGCTATCTCTCTCTCTCTCGTCTACTTTTCGCTTCTTTAGATAAATCGTTTGGTATTAGCGCGCGCTGTAACAGGATTGTCAGAGACCCACGACCATTGAAGCAACAAACGAAGGTTCGGTTCAATTAATCAAATGGAACGTCACAATTATGCATTTAATCTCCAAACATTTTATAACAATTAATCACAGCCTGACATCCAGTGACGTCACTCAAATCGGAAATTAGATAAGCCCAGCTAGCGTACGCTCGAGTAAACAATTTTTACTCACAATTCTCAAATAAATAAATCAAAATTATGTATATTTTTATAGTAATTATTGTAAGTTACGAAGTTTCTATTCTACTTCCGTTACGTGCAAAGACATGACCAACAATAAAAAAAAAATAAAAATAAAAAAACGAATTCAAATCGAAACGAATGTGTCTCATTCAAGCATTTGTTGTCGCTACTTTTCTAGGTTGCCCCAGCCACACAATTGTTTACAGTTTTAACTATGCACTTCCTCCCACAAAAACAAACACACTCACATACATTCTCAGCCTTCTCTCCTTCTCTCTCTCTCTTTGTCTGTTTGTTTGCCTCATTCATTCAACACTTTAATTTGTCCACTGGAAATAACTAACTGTAGTAGCGCAATCTGACAATGGGTTTATTTTTTCTTCTTTTATTTTTGTCGTTTGCTTTGCACTGCTATTCTCAGCCACCCGCCCAAAGAGCGTCACAGCGCATAGCTTTTGTTTTCACCTGTTGAAAAGTTTGTCGGCAAAAATAATAATATAAAAACTTTTGCATTACATTAACAAACAAAAATCTCTTTATTAGATACAAATTCAACTACAATTGTACATTGTCGCTTACAGTAGCATTTTATTCAGTGCAAAAAGGGGGAATGAATAATACAAAGAAAAATCATAAACACAAATATATATTCATATATACACATATGCATATATACTTACACACACTCAGCACACATTTGGGCTGAATTGAAATAAATTATAAAACTCATCAACTGAAAGCATGTGTGTGTGAGTGTGTGTGTGTGTGCATATTTATGTATAAGTATTCGCAAAATTGAATTAGCAACAAAAGGCAGCGCGATTCATTAGAAAATGCGCGCTATGACGTCATTGAGCAGTTAATATACCTGATTTATCATGCGATCGAGCGCACAGCACATACGTAAGAGAGAGTCACTTGCTCATATATGTTATATCAACTTGATATGACTGATAACAGTGACTGCTCTGTCAATGACAAATACCAAGTACAAAGAATTCTCTACATACTTTTTTTCTTTTTTTTACACGTTTCGTTATGCTGTAATGGCTCTATCTCTGCCCCCCTTTCTCCCCATCGCTCTAATTGTTCTCTAATTGAAAGCAATAAGAATATGATCACATGAAAGAAAAAACAAAAAGAGAAAAAGAGGTCAACTTACTGCCGAATGTCTCACATTCAAATTTATTTGAATTGGATTTATATTCTTACTCGAAAAAAAATTCTGTCTAGAGAACCTCGCAAAAAAGGTTCTGATTAGAGAAAGTAGAGACTTTCGTCTCTGTTACATAGAATTTGCAATTATGTGGCTACACTGTCGATACAACAGCTGTTCGAACGGTTAACCGATAACCGATATTGATTGCCCAACTAATATCTACAGTGCTTGCAAAGCCATTATCGTCTGTCACTATTCAATAAAAACTAGTTTTCGATATTTACAAATCTGTTTATCACTTGCTCTACACAAAACTAGCTTTACGCCAAATCGCATGCAAAAGGCACAAAATAAAATAAAAACAGCAACAAAAACTGCAAAGAAACTTTGCAAAATAAAAGTAGGTCACCGGCGAGACTAAGAAACTTGTAAACAGATGCGCTACGAACAGCGGCAAAATGCATTAGACACGCGTAAGCGTAAATATTTGCCAGCACTTGCATGTGTATGTGTTTACTGATAAAGACGGCAGTTTAAATCAGAAACCTGTATGATGACATGTGTCAGACATGAATAGAAAGCTACAGACTGATATATCTATCCAGCTCCCACCCACCCGAAAGCAAATTAAGAGAGAGCGGTGAGAGAAAAGTCAAAAGTTCTTCATCACTGACAAGTCAAAGAAAAAACACAAATTTTCAGAACGAATATTGAAGACAAAGCATAAGAGAAAAATACACTCCTCCGGAATGTGCTTGACCAATCCCAAAATGTAAAAAAAATTTAACGAAAATTGTTGGTGTGAGTTAAAAGATGGCGTCACCGGTCAAACGGCAACCACGCATAACAGTAAACAGCGCGAGCTGTCTATACACATTTCGACACAAAAAATTAACCGAAAAGTGAATAATACAATTAAAAGCACACAAACATGCATACATAAATTAAAAGTAGGAAAAAAATAAGAATGATATGAAGGTAGACGGGCTCGTACTCACAGTGAATGTTTCGACTTCTGCTTTGACGTAGTCCTCGTTGTTTCTTTTCGCTTTTTCGTTCTTATTGCGTGCTGCTGGGACGTCGTTTACACAAACACAGACACAAGTTCGTCGAAACTGACAAGCACACGCGTTCGTTTTTCGGCTGCTTTATGTATATATTTGTATATACGTATGTAGTAAATAAATGAGGGGAGGAAAAAAGAACTATGAAATTAATTTTTATTTATTTAGCAATGATCGTGAATTGCACTACAATTTATTATTTGGCATTTGTTATCGCTTGCACTTTGCGCTAGCGGCAACACACGGCGGCAAGGGCTCTCTTTATAACGGCGTATCTAACAATGGCGGGTCTAAGTAACGGCACTTGCACAGCTCACCACGTTTAGCCCTTTTTTTTTTATTAATGCAAATTGCTTTTATCACATTTGAATAACCAACTTTAATAATGCAAAGTTGTATACACAGAAATTTAATCAAACGCCACCTTATGACATATAATTTCCTTTTATATTCAATTTCTGTAACGCACACGTCCGTCGCTCACAAGCGCACGTTAACAACAAAATGAAGATGAGAGAGTGCTTACTTGGACTGGAAGCGGTCTAGAACGACAGTGTTGGAAAACGATAAATGGGCGTAGCGATTACTAAATCGGATAATACACATACATATACAAGCCAATTTATTTTATGTTTCGTATATTAAATAAACAAAGAAAATTATACTTATGACATTTTTCATCGCTGTATATTTAATACATATAAAATATAAATTATTGAAGGCAAATGCATTTTTGTTTTTTCTGTTTGCGCAAAAGTGAGAGAGCGAGACAACTATATTGCATTTCTGGTGCTCTCTGGAAAATGACCGCAAAGCGGCCTGGAAATCATATCATCCTGCAACGCCCAAATCGAAAGGGAATATATGTATGTATGTGTATATGGCGTTTGTATGTATGTTGGTAATAACGAATCTGGTGATCAAAGCATGCGTCAAAAAACAGCGCCGCTCACGTACATAACGTACGAAAGGAATTGTCAAGTCCTGACGCGGCGACCACAAAATATGCGACACTTATAAGTATTCTGCAGAAGAGTGTGGAAAAACTATGTCAATTAAGTCAACCGCATATGATATGTGCGTCGATTATGTCATATTATTTATTCGAATACACATTCACACACAAACACACGAACGCAATTAACACTTTGGCGGCGTCTTCGCCACCGGTATGACGTGAAAAAATCGATTGGTGGTATTGTCTATGCTGTTGCTGTCTTTCACAACATAGTTTAAGCAAGCACCATAGACGTTTGATTGTTATTGATATTTTTTATTATTACGCGATTTACTAAAAATTTAATAAAATCTGGAACACTTACACTTATTAAATGCAAAAATCACACTGAAAATCACAGCGCGACGTGCGTACTCTCGATTCGGCTTCGTTTCTGAATGAGAGTGTGACCAAATGATAACAAAATTTAATGAAAAATGCAGCTAAGCAATCGATAAGAAATAACTCTGTAATGTTATTATAGCTCTGTTAGCGGATCTGTTAAGTTTAAATTTCGATTGCCAACAAAACAATAAATGTTAAGCAGAAAAATTGAAGATTAATTTTATAAAACTCACGTAATGGAAATATAATATGTTTTACAATATGTGTCAAATGCAAATAAAATAATTTTGTTAATTATATAAATTTTTATTTTGTAATTACTGTTCAAATACAATGTAGATTTAGTGCAAATATAATTTTAAAAGCATGTGCTGAGCTTTTGTCATAGGTCAACAAAAATAAACTAGGAACGCAATGAATTCAATTGTGGAAAACCGACCGAGCTTAAAGCTCAGCAATGGAAACGGCTTCAATAATATCGAAGGTTTCCCGAATGTCGTTATCGGTCAGCAATCGATTAACAACAATGCGAAGACTCGGACGAATCGGCTTGTGTTCCCTATTCCGCAAATAGGCGGCTTCCACAACGGCCACGCCTCGTTCAATGCACTTGAAAAGAAATAGAAACGGTTAGCCTTTAGGATATGAATATTAATATTCAATTTCTTACCTTGTCTGACACTTGGCTGAGCAGCTTGCTCTCTACTTCAAAGCTCTCACGGTCTTCGGCCAGGTACAAGTGCTTCACAGGTGACAGCTCGTCGCCGCCCAACTTCAATTTGGTAAATAATTTGAATTGTGTATGCACTTGGCGCGATCTCTCCTGCAGCTGGCTAAAGATTTGCGGTTCGCGCTCGAAGCGATCCAATGCTGAGATCGCCGCTTGGGTTAGCATTGGCGGCAACGATGCGGAGAAGATGTAACCCAAGCCGGACAGACGCTGGTGCTCGGCTATGAAATGCGAGCCCACACAAAAACCGCCAATGGTGGCCATGGAGCCCTCCATGCTCGCCGATATCAAATCGATTTCATCGCGCTTCAAAAAATGATTGTAAAAATATATAAGTTATCGATAAATTTAACGAAGACTTGGCACACTTACGTTGACATTGAAGTGCTCGGTTATTCCGCGGCCAGTTTGGCCTAAGGTGCCAAAAGATATGGTCTCGTCCAGGAATAGGCGCAACTTGTATTTCTTGCGCAGCTCCACCAGCTCTGGCAGCGGGCACAGCTTGCCCGTATTCATATAAATGCCCTCGACGACCAGGAAGCGACGCGTCTTTTGCGCCTTCTTTGGGTTCTGCTGATCACGTTTCTCCTGTTGCTGTAGCGAGCGCTCCAGGTCCTGCACATCGTTGTGCTTGAAAAACACAATGGTACTGCGCGAGGCATCCAGGCCCTTTTGTATGGCAAAGTTGACGGCTTCATCGCTGGAAGATTACAAAATCATGACAGATTAATAATAAACCAAATCAAGTGGAGTCTCGGCAACTTACACAAAGATAATGTCGCCACGCTTAGCATAGGCGGGTATGGCGCTGGCCACAGTGGAGAAGCCATAGGAGTAGACTATGGCCTCTTCCAGACCCATGAATTTGGCCAAGCGATCCTCCAGCTCCAGGTGCACATCCATGGTGCCGTAAAAGCCACGCGGGCCACACGACCCGACGCCGTATTTGCGTAGACACTTGCACGCCTCCTCCAGGATCTCATCGTCCTCGAGCAGGCCCAAATAGTTGTGGGAGCCCAGATTTAGGCAATTATGCCCATTGACCACTATGCGCTTGCCCACCCTCGACTCAACGAGGCGAGTGCGTAACAACGGATGATCCGGATCCGTGTCGGCGACCAAAGGCTCCGGTTCATACTGTTCAATTAGAGACTCCTGCTGCTCCTTGGACAGCCCACGACCGCCACGTTTATGCAAGAGCAATGCAATCACCGTGATCAGCAGCAAAGTCTCCAGCACCAGCGCATATGTGGGAGTCTGCAACAAAAACCCGCATATGCATTATTTCTATATAAATATGTTTATTAATTCCGACTCACATTACGAAAAATACTGCCGAGTTCATTAAACAACTGTATGCCCATCATTTTGATTTCCCTGCAAACAATGAAAAATCAATTAAAGCAATTGGGCAGGAAAAAAATGTCACGCCGTTTGTTGTTGCATGCGTCATGCCAACTGTTCTTATCGCATTTGCATGCTAACGAATACCTTAAGCATTAATGGACGGCCAGCGATATGTGTAATTATATTTTAACTTTGTATGTTATAGATAAAACACGCATTTACTCTTTAGCACACACAACTTTTATGTTTATGAAGCTAATATTTAGATTGCGACTGCGTGCGCCTATCGTCGGCTTTTATCGATTTCAACTTGACGTGGTGCGGCTCGATCTTCGATAGATATTGTACTGAACGAAACATATCGAGCTAGCGCCAATTTCAAGTGTATCGAAATTTAACATTAGCGATATGCCTCTAATAAGGGAGCTGTTAAAATATTTATTTGCATTTCATAAATATTTTGAGTTTGCTTATATATATTTTTTGAGTTCAATTCAATTAGAAATTCAATTCAATTGCCAAGCCCCATTTTCCCACAAATACATAATCATTAAATTCAAGACGATTTCAGTTTTTGTTTTGTTTTTGTATATAGATTTATTTGTTAAATTTATTTTGTTTTTAGTTTGTCTTCCAGCAATTCGTTAATGTATAAAAAATAAAACAATAATCATAATTAAACGTTAAACAAATTGTACTGTCCTAGATACGTAATGAGCCAAAAGAGAAGTTCAATTAACGTTCCTTTATTGCTTTCGTTTGGCAAAAACAAGGAAAAGTTTGCTAATTGGCGAAATAAACAAAATATTATAATATATATATATAAACCGTTTCACATAATATACAATCAATAAATGTAAGATTGGTTTGGATTTTCTGTGTGCTTTTTTTTGTTTTTCTCATTCCGAATGTTGCAATGAAAAAATTGTTGCAAGTAAAAAGTAAATATATTCTGCTTTTTCCTTTTTGCGTTTTCTTTAGTTAAAAAATCAACAGTTCTTTCGTCGTTCACCAATTTTGTTGTTTCTGTTTATATAGAGAGAGTGAGTGCGAGAGACAAACTGCTGTTAAAGTTGCTTTTGTTTGTTTGTTTGGACTTTTCAGACGCTTAAAAACTGGCTACACTAAATTTACGCTCGCTTTCTGTTTGTTTGATTTGTATTATGTTTAAAAACTATACTTTAAAGTTGGGTTTCCATCTTGTGGGGGTGTGTGTGTGTGTGTGTGAATGAATGGGGTTTTGCGACGGCAAAAAAAAGTGTGCACCGATTTATTAGCTGCTTCTTCTTCTTCTTCTATTTCTTGTCGACGCCCGCATTGGACTGTGTAGAGTATGAATATTGAGACCAATAATGATTGGTGGCACCGCCATCATTGTTGCCCGCTGCGCCCGCAGTGCCACCCACACTGCCACCACCCACATTATTGTTCGCTGCTCCCCCGCCGGCGCCCTGCTGATGTTGCTGCTGCTGCTATCGATGATGAATATAGAAATTAACGATTTATCGATATATTGTTGTTGGGAGACTGTTGCTCACCTGCCACCAGGACATCCATTGCTGTTGTTGCTGCTGTGGATCAGCGCCTTGCCAAGCGGATTGCTGCTGCTGGTTGCCATAACCTGCTCAATCAATATACAGACAATCAATCAATTAATCAATCAAGCGATGCCCCAACTGCCAACTGCCAGCTGCCTACTCATATTGGAACTCGCTCCATTAACCACCAGGCAAATAAATGAATTCCACGTCGAATATTAAATCAGATTTTATTTGCGGCACGACAACAGAGCGAGTTCTATAGGTAAGCAGTTGTAGCCAGGTGTTGTTGTTGTTGTTGTTGCTGCTACCTACCCTGCATCTGATTATAGTTCCAATATTGTTGTTGTTGTTGCTGTTGGCCTGCTGCGGTCTGATGCGTTTGCTGCTGCTGCTGATATTGTTGCTGCTGCTGTTGTGGCGGCTGCTGCTGCCAAACGCCGGCCGGCTGATGATGCGTCTGCTGCTGCTGTTGTTGGTGCTGGGCATAGGTGCTCCATTTGCCACTTAGCGCGGACTGCAAATCGAATAGAATAGAAACATTATATAGAATAATTGCTGGAGATGAGGTGAGTGTTTCACTGGTTACCTTGGAGCCGGACTGCTGACCTCCACTCGACTTGTACTGATCGTAGCTGGCTACCTGGGCCGAGTTATTGCCGTATTTGGGCAGCGCTTGTGCAGCTGACCGCTCATAGCCACCGCGACTATCTTCTTTGGTGTCGCGGTGGCCATGCCGAAAATCCCGTTGTTGATGATTACCGCCGCCGGAGCGATAGCTGCTGCTTTGGCTGCTGCCTCGGTTACGATCATTGCTGCCCAGCCGATTGCGATCATTGCCGCCGCGATCTCGATCGCGATAATCTCGCGAGCTGCCGCCACCGCCACCATAGCCGCGATCATCATAGCCACTCCTTCGATTGTTTTGCATCCAATTCTGTTGGCCACCACCACCACCGCCGCCGCCGCCGCCACCACCGCTGCCACCATAACCACGATTGCGATTATCATAGCCACGACTGCCGCCGCCCATGTTGCCTCCACCGCCATAGCCGCGATCATCATAGCCGCTTCGGCGATTATTCTGCATCCAGTTTTGCTGACCACCGCCGCCGCCGCCGCCACCACCGCTGCCGCCATAACCACGATTGCGATTGTCATAGCCACGGCTGCCACCGCCGCCTCCACTGCCGCCGCCGCTGGAGTAGCCACCGCCGCCACCTCCACCTCCGCCGCCGCGTCTCGAGTCGCTCCAGCGACTGTCGTGACGTTGTCCGCCATGATCCCGACGCCGGTCATCAAAGTGACGATTGCGATGCCTGTCATCGCGTCGATAATTATCGCGTCCGCCACGCGATCTCTTGTCACGCGACCTGTCCGCATCGATGGCCTTCTTGCCCTTCTCATTGTACTTCTTGACCTCGGCCTTGGCCTCGTCCCCGTTCAGCTCCGTGTAGATGATGTCGTCAAACCAGCCAAACTCCAGCGAGGGCAGCGTGAAATTGGCTGCAAAAAGAGTGTGTGAGCGTATGTTATTATCATGTCGAGCATTGTGCAACACTGGCAAAGAGTTTTCATCAATTTTATACACATTACACTTTAAAAGAGAGAGAGTAAGACAGGGGTAGACGGAGAGAGATAAAGTGGGTTGGGGAGACAGACAGTAAATTGGTGGGGAGGAGTAAGGGATAAAGGTAGGGGTGGTATCTTCAGCTGGCAATGTGTTCAAGGCAAATAAGTGAGAGAGAGTGAGACAGAGAGGGAGAGTGAAATAAAGCTTAAAGCTTCAGTTGAATGAACTTCTAAGATCGGATTTGAATAAATATTTAAAGAATATTCGAATATTGGTTGTGAGAAATAACGGACCACAGTGAAGCCCTCGTCTTAGAAAGCCTTTTTTACAGTTTTCACAGTTAAATGCAAATCGGACAAATATGGATATATAATAATTAAGATTCTCTTTTTGAAATACATTAGAGCTGCCAGCTGACTTTTTTTTTGTTTTTTTTTTTGGCTTTGTTTCTTAAAAGGAAATAATGATAATGATCTATATTGATGAAGTATAAAAAATGAATTAAAAGATGGCTTAGAATTACAGTAAAAAACAGTTACAAATACATAAGAGAATGCAGCTGCTTACAGGCTAATAAATATATAAGTTACATAAAATAAGCATTAAATATATTCTCTTTTTTTTTTGTAATATATGTACTCAATATATATTATATATATATACATATAGATATATTGTTTTATATTACGCACTAATAATTTGCCGTTTCTTAATTGATTCGTATATTTTTTTTTTGTTTATATTTTTTTTTTTTTTTTTCGTTGCTTGTGGTTGTGGTAGACAATATTTACCTCGTAAGTTATTTATTGTTGATTCTTTAACTGTAAAAGCATTTCCCTTTTCCTCTTTATCGGCGATGCGACGTTTCAATTCATCTTCGCCGGGTATGCAAACAACCGCAATACGCTTGAAGTCGCTAAAACCTTTCATTTTACGTCTCTGGGCCGAGGCATACGCATTCGTCTACAAGAATTATACAGTTGGTTGGTTGATTGGTTGGTTGTTTGGTCGGAATCGAGAGTTGTTTGATTGGTTGTTGTTGAATCGATTTGGATTTGGTTGGTTGGTTGTTTGGTTGAATGTTGTTGCGTTGTTGGTCAGTTGTTGGCCAGGTGCAGAAACACGTTGATGATTGCCGATTGCCTGGGATCGGGCTCGAATTGAGCCCACCACTTGGCGCCCAGGCTGACGTAGTTGTTCATGTTGTTGTTGTTGTTGTCGTTGTTCGCCCTCGCTTATAAACTAACACATACCTGAATTACATATATATACCTATATATATGTGTGTCTGTCTGTGCGTGTGTGTGTGTGTACGTTTGCAACTCCGCCAGGGAGTGGGCATTGCCATACACTACAAATATGCCCCGTGCTCAACTCACACTTCTGCATCGGATTGGCAGAACGAAACAACAGTTGACTCAATATATAGTAGCAAAAGAATTAACATATTTTTTTTATATATACATAACTGTATATATAGAGAGAGAGAATATTATATATATATAGTACAGCAGTGGCCTCTGTCGTTGGCATTTAGAGAGATAGAGAGTAGGTATAGTAGTAGAGGTAACTAAGACGATACGATTTTCATTTTGGATTGAATTGTGTGTAATTGTAGTTGTAGTTGTAATTGAATTGCTGTTGTTTATTTGTACTTTACTTACAGTGGCTTCCTTGCCGCACGCTCCCTTCCTTCCTTGCATCATCTTGCTGCCAATAACTCATACTCAACTTCATCTCTCCTCATCTCCATCTCACTGCCCTTCATCATCTACTGTCAACTGTTGCACCTAAAACTTATGCTTAATACAAATGCAAATACAAATACTTACACGCTTCAACACACACTCTTATATAATACTAAATTATCGGATCAACTTAATGCCTAACACATACCTTCACAGCTTTTCTGCTCTGTTGGCGTCGCTAGCGACGCTTGGGCTCTTCTCTCATATTATTATTAATTTTTTTTTCTTCATATATGAGCAATCAAATGCATATTTCAAATTTACAAAAACATAAAAATATAACAAAAATAATTTCCCTCTTTTTTTTTTTTTCTTTTTTTGAATAATCAGGGATTTTCCATCAACGCTTGTTTCGTGGTTTTTCGTTCGGTTCGTTTGTGTTTTAGTGTATTTTGTATGCGTGTGTGGGAATGTTCGTGTGTGTGTGAGTGAGTGTCTGGTTGTCTGTGTGTGCGTGTGTGCTTGTTGGTCATTTGTTTGATGTTTTACCTGATCGAGTATAAAATTGCGACGCCGCTTCATAGCAATGTCTTCCAGGCCGCCGAGGCTATTCAAGCAGATCTCGTACACCTTATCCCAGCGACCTTTGTGCACAGTTTTGCGCGATTCTCCATCAATCTACAAATAGAATATGTAAAAGAAAAAAAAAAACAAAAAATATTTAAACTAAGTTTTCACTTGCGATAAGAAACTATTAGTCATTATTGCTTCATGCAATGATTCACTTAACTATAATACTTAGAAAATATATATTTTGTATGATAATAAATGCCCGACTAGCATATACCCTGACCCTTGCACAGAGCTGCTATTGTACCTTTTTGTATTCTTCAGAGATAACTGTGCTTGTAATCCAAATCAAGAATATTTATACTTTATGACATTTGCCATGCTTTTTTCTACCTGTGACCTGCATTTCCACAAAATCTGAATACCCTGAATTTCCATATGCAATGGATTTATTGTTCATTTCTTTGGAAAACTAATAGGCAGCCCTTGAGCTTATATAGAGCTAAACCATATAAACTATCTGCTACCATAATAAGCATGAACAATAAAATATAAAAATATTACTATGTATACAATATCATAAATATTATTGGACTCTCTATAGTCTACTAGGCTATATTTATCCAGCTAAATCTCTATTTTCTTTCACACTTACCGTCATTTTGGCTATTATGGAATCAGGTCCAATGACTTCGTAACGCTTGTCGGCGTTCTCAGCGACATGCTTGAGTGTCCAGTGCGTCTTGCCAGCACCGGGCAGACCCACTAGCAGAATAACCTCGCACTCCTTGCGCGAAGCAGGACGCTGAGGACCGGGAACCAGTTGCTCGATGGGCACCAAAGCCAACAGTACATAACCCGGCAATAGGGCGACAGTGTCCCGTGGCACGGGCACAACATCCTCGTATTCCTCTTCAGCCGCTTGTGACTTTTCCGCAGACTTCTCTGTTTCAGATTCAGTTTTGGTACGCTTGTTGGGCGATGGGCCGTCCTCGTCCTCATCCTCAGCATTGGCTGACGCTTCATTGCTTTTGGCTGACTTTTTTGCCGCTGCCTCTGGCTCGGCTGCAGCCTCAGCATCAGGCACGCTGTCGCCATTGGTTACCGCTGCCGACTCAGTGGGCACAGCAGCTGTAGCTTCTGCCGCTTCCTCAGCTGAAAATGAAGAGAATTTTTTTTTATCATAAATGTCACATTAATTTCATTCAATCAACTCACCAGGTTCCATTGCCTGATCCTGCGATGCAGCCTCCGCGCCCTCAGCTTGTTCTGTCTGCTCCGATTGCGACTCTCCCTCGCCGCCAGCCTCTTTGGACTGCTCATCATCTTCAGTGGGTTTACTGCTTGCATCTGCATTGGCGTCTGCCTCTGCCTCCGCCACTTTGTCGCCATCTTCTTCGCCTGCAGCTGGTTTCGTTTCATCGTCCTTCTTCTCGGGCTCATCATCGTCAGCGGTCGCCTCGTCCAGCACCTTCCACTTCTCACCATCGTTGTCATCGTCTTTATGCGACTCGGCACGTTGCTTGCGACGCTTGCGTGTCGGCCGTTCGGCATTGACGAGCAGCTCCTCGGCATTGGAGAAGTTCACTGTGTACTCGTAGCCCTTGGTGACAATATGCGGAAAGAGAGCACCGTCCTCGCCCAGACTGCTCTTCTCAAACTCATGGGCAATGCCCAGATCTTCGCCATTCAGCGTGTACCTGATGTTGCACGGCGTGCTCTCCAGATCCAAGTAACATCCAATTACATCGTCCAGCTGATATGGTTTGCCATAATCTTTGAATTCGCCATTGTTGGCCTTTCGGCCGCTCTCGCAATAGCCATAGGAATGTTCAGCTTCGCCCAGCAACAGCGATGACTGCGGCGTTGAGAAGCCCACACGAAAGCCTCGCACATGCGGCTCATCACGGAAATGATGCGCATTCTCTGGCACAATCTCCTCCGACAATTGCACCTCAAAGCATACCTTGCCCTCGCGCACGCCGTAATTGGCGCGTGCACCAGACCAAATAAGTGAATAGATTTCCGGGGCCAATGGCTTTGCCGACGTAAAATTGGTAGAGTCAATGACCAAATGGATGTCAGAATCAACTGATGTGGGAAAGAAACAAATATAAATAAATTAATGAAAGCATTAATATATATTATTTGAAATAGATCATTATCCAGAGCTTAGCTTTGATTAGCTGAGCTATTGATGAAGATCTAAATTTCAGATCAGACTTCAGTTTTCAGATCTTTATTAAGAGCTTATATAAGCTAAACTCTTGATGATCTAAATGTGCCAAACCGTCAAATCCTCTAAGATTTAATTCCATTTTCATTTTGATTAATCAATGTGTAAAGTTTTACTTACACCAACTGAGGCCCACTTTGTTTTCCTCTATGGTGGGCTCATCCTCGACTACGGTGCGTTGCTCCTCCACAGCGGCACCACCTTTGGAGTCGCGCTTATCGCCGCTGCGACGTTTGGGTGAGCGCGAGCTGCTGCGCGAGCGAGTTTTACTGTGTGAACGTTTGCGTCGTTCGCTCGACTTTTCTTGCTCTTGCTCCGGCTGCTGTTGCTTGTCGTCCTCCTTGTCTGTTTTGGTTCCAGTGCCAGCATCATCATCCACATCCATTTTTTCACCATCGTTACCATTGGATTGGTGTGCGACTTTCTCCGCATCCGCATCAGCATTAGCATTAGCATTAGCATCGGCATCTGCATCTGCATCATTATTCTCTGCCTCTTGCGCTGCTGTTTCCGCTGGTTTGTTGAAATCATTGGAGTCTTCTTGATTTTCTGTCTCCATAGTTGTGGGTTCCTCTGCCATAGCAACATCTTCATCTTGTGTTGCTGTCGGTGCAGCAGAGTCCGTTTGCTCTTCTTCTTGCTCTGCGACCTGCTTGGCTTGATCTTCCGATTGCGCTTCCTGCTGTTCCTGTTCCTCTTCATGTTCATCCTCTTCAACTTCCTCCACTTCTGCTCCTGAAGCAGACTCAACTTCCGGCTCGGCTCCATGGTGTTCCTCCTCCGCCAGAGTCTCTAACTCTGGTTGAGTGGCAACTGGAGCTGCCGGCACCGGCGATGGTGATCGCGACATGGATCGCGTCCGACGCTGTCGGCGGCTAGGTGTAACTGGGGCGCCATCTGTCGTGAACAAAACAGAAAAATGTAAATCACATAAAATTCGAATTTGGGTTATATAAGGCGCGTTTACAATATACAAGACAAACACGTTGAGCCGAGTTACACGCACACACACATTGCAAACCGTTCAAAATTCTGTAGTACACATACATACATACATACACGGACACACACTCACACATTCAAGCATTCAGAGCCACAGTGATGCATACATACACACACACATGTACACATACTAGCTTACCTCCATCGCCGCCGCCGCCGGCAGCAGAACCTTCCACATGTGCTCTCAAGCGCTCGATGAGCACTGCTTTTACACCTTTGGTATCAAGACCACGCGTTTGTAACTCGGTACGCAGGTCTACCACTTTCATCTTATCCAACTTCGCCAAATCCATTTTTTCGCTTCAATCTTGAATGGCGGCAGCAGCGCGTCACGCACAAAAATATATACACACACACTCACGCGCACAACTGAGGCGAAATGAAAACGTATTATAGACGAAGTAAAAGCTATGCAATGAAAGCGCGTTTACTTAGAAAACGAATTATTTTGTTGCTATTTCGCAAATATAGCGAATCAAATCAATTTTCGCAATTGCATTCGCATTTATTGCGAATAAATAATGGCTAAAACCTATACCGAGAACGCGTTGATGTGAAGTTGGCTGCGATTAACAATGCACGGAATGCTAAAAGCTATCGATGAGTTGAAATATGTTGCATCAGTAAGAGCACCTTTACGTTTAAGTTATCGATATGTGAAACTTTTCACGATATTGAAATTTGATTATATTCTATTATTTATTATATTTATTATAAATTGTCAAACTTTATAATTATAGAAAACAATATTGGCTGTACGATTGAATGGTTTAGGAAATGAAATGAATTTGCAGTAGTTTTCAGCTTATAATATATGTTGCCGTAAGTTTTAGCTGATAAATATTCGTTTCATCACTAACAAGTGGCATTTCATATTTTTCTCTTTGTGGCAACGCTATACAAATCTGGAAAATCTAAAATGTGGCAATGGAAGTCAAGTATTCAATTTGCTGCCTCGTATTTGATGACTCCGTGGCGCAACGGTAGCGCGTCTGACTCCAGATCAGAAGGTTGCGTGTTCGATTCACGTCGGGGTCAAATGTGACAAATTATTTTTTATTTTCAAATATTTCATACGTAACCTTGCTTTTTTTTTTTTTTCTTTTTTAAATAAAACTTTGCTCTATTTTGAAAATGGATCATTGTTAGTTTACTTTGTTAACCTTTGCGCTATGCCCACACCTGCTCAATAATCGATTTAGTTGTTCAGGCATGCAACGTTTTGCCAATTAGTGAGCTTAAATTAAATGTGACAGTACAATTCATTGTTAAATGAAAAAAAAAAAGGTATTTATTTCATTATTGCCGCTCGCTTAACTAAGAAACAGTCAAAACTATTGAGTAATCAATTTTTGAGAGATAAAATATATTGATTTATGTACATATATAAATAAATATACATAAATATGTACATATATATATTAATATATATATTAAAGTATATATTTTCTTATATATTGTATATATAGATTTTTTTTGTTATCTGAAAAAGGTTTTACTAATTAATTTAGTCTGCTTCTTAGTTAAGCGAGTACTAATAAAATAAAAAGATAACTTTATTGCCCTTGCATATATTATACTTGTATAGTAACGATCTATGTATATCTGTTCCGCTTTGTCCATTTCCAAAAGATTATTAAACAAATATACTCTCTTTACATTTTAAGCGAGTAAAAATATTATGAATACTTACCGCTTATTCATGTGGTAACACGAAAAGTCTAGAAGGAAGTTGCCCTTAAACTGCACTTTACCATATAGGAAATTGAAATCGATATCGAATCTACAGCTATTTCATAAAAAAACACGTATTTTTCAACTTGATCGATTTGCATTAGTCGAACTCGCTGCGACCTTAAAAGGCCACAGAAATATCACGAAGCTTTCATATTCATATAATAACACCCACAATCATTTTTATTTTTGTGTCATTTCACAATTGTTTTTTATTAAAAATAAAAATAAATAACTCAAATACAACGCTTAGGTTAATTTCAATGCAAAACTCAAGAGAACATGAAATTTATCAAGATTGTGATTAGTGTGAAGATCAGATAGGATAATAGATCTCATAAAAAGCTCTGTTAGTACAATACAAAATATTCACAATTCACTTTCAATATCCATTTCCTCCCGCCCCTCTCACTGCACCAACTTGAAGCGATTGGCCTCGGCATAATCCCTCGGATCGGAGAAGTTTCGCTCCGGCTTGATGCGCACATCGTTCGGATCGTTGACGAATTCACCACTCCAAGTCGTTGGCAATATGGTCGGATCTGAATTATATTCGAAATAGTCCTGATCATCGGAACGATTTCGTTCAGGCTTGGTGCGTGTCTCGCCGCTCTTCACAAAGGTGCCATCCCAAGCCGTCGGCAGGACAATCGGTTCCGTATTATAGCCATAGAAATTGTTTGTATTTGTCACATTCTGATTCTGGCGACGTATCTTGGACACATTATTCACAGCTCCATCGGGATACACGAATTTCCCATTCCAGCCCTCACACTTAATGGGTATATATTCCTCTTTCTTCCGTAGCGACATTTTTTCTCAGCTCGATCTCGACTTGGCGCGTTTCAAAATTCGATTGAACTGAAGCGACGCCAGCAATATTCTAAAATATGATTTCACACAGGTGTGTTTGTGTATGTGAGAGTGTGTGTGTGTTGCCAATACCTTGGCAAATTGTAAATGATTATTATTGTTGACTGTTTTGTTGTTGTTGCTGTTCAACCCACACTTAATTTCAGCTAATGACGTCATATATCACTCAGACGTTTGTTTTGTTTGCTTTCTGTAGACAAAACGGGTTCGCTGTCTCAGCTCTGAGGCAGCCTCCTCCACGGCTTTGCATATCGCTTAGGCAGTGCCAATGACAACAGTACTAGACGATTTTCTGTTTTCGCCGTTCTCGCTTTACCATATAAGCCGACAAATTAAACAGGCTACATCTCACCCAGCTACCTAATAGGTGAGCTTACGGTTTCGCAAGTTGTCTGCAAGCCAAGCTAAATACGCTAAATTTCATATGAATGTAGGGTATACTGGATTTATGTAGATGTATATTACGGGTAGAAGAAAGGCTACTATGTATACAATGTATAATCCAGATGATTCGCTCTTCTGCTCGTATGCGTGTCCATTTTTTCATCTGTCTGTCCATCCTTTCATCCTTCATTTTGTCCATCTATTCTTCGGTCTGTCCTTTTGACCATCCATCCGTCAGCTCGTTCGTTTCCCCGTCCGTCCGTTTACCCGTAAATCTATTCATCCATCTGTATAACCTTTCATTTGTCTCTCTATCTAGTTAGCCTTCAGTCTTTCAATCTCTATCTCTCTCTCTCTTTCTCTCTATCCTCTCCCTTTCTATCTTCACTCATCTGTCCTCCAGGAGCCATTACTTTGGCATAGGGTATCTGCTAGTCGCTCTTAGCTCTTCTTACATTTTCTTTTCTATTTTTAATTTGCCTATTCTAATCGACTTTTTAATCTTGATTGCCAGCATTTGACTGATTCATACGTCGCATAAAATAAAGTCATAAAAATTGTATTTCCTTATATAGACGATGGCAAAGATTTATTTATTGTTGTTAACTTGATCAATTTGCTGTTAGAATATAAATACATATGTACGATTCGGAAGTAATTGAAAACAAGAGCGAATAGATTAACAAGAAAACAAATTTTGCACAGTGGGGCAAATGCACAGCATTTTTGTGTAATTTCATAATGAATTCAGAAGCTGGTCAAACTTGACTTGAAACAGCTTTCTAATTAGCTTTTTGAATTAAATAGTTGCAAATAAATATTTTAAAAAATAAGAATATGTATAAATTTGTGTCTTCGCACTTGATATATATTCTAGATACTTTATTTATTCTTGTTCTAATGAGTTGGATTAACGATTTTTGTTAATTGATTCAATTAAATAAAGCATTATATTAGTATTTAAAAAAAAATAATAATAATAAAATAATTAGTAAATAAATTAAGGATTATGGTTAAGAATTGTTGCCCATTGATTAAATTTTTAAAATTTAGCTAAGTAATTTGTATTTATAATTTAGAGTTTTATTGATAGTATCAATCAATTTGATACATAAAGTAAATAGAATTTATAATTATAATAATCTAAGCTAGTTCCATGTTCAATCTATCGTCAATTTCAAATCCCAACTAGTTCCGATTGGTTCACAATTTGATCGATATTTGAATGGAGAGTGTAGCAAATTTATAGGCAACATGTCACACATTAACAAATCATACCTTATTGACCACCTGTTGTTTCAGTGCCACACGCACGTAGGTAACGTTAAAACCGTTACACTAATTAAAACTCGTAGCAGAAAGCAGAGAAACACCGCAAAGGGCCAAGCGCAAAAAAGCTTTTTGCATCCGCTCGCCCACACAGCGAGGCACGCGAACTGGTGCTGCTGCTGCTGGGTGGGTGGCTTAGGGGCAATGCGTGGCAGGCTTACAACAACATGCCACAGCGACGACAATGTTCGTCCCTCGCTCGCCGACCACCAAGCAGCAGCAACAGCAGCAGACGGCAGACGGCAGCGGCAGCAATTTCTATCCGCTGCTCGTTAGAAGAAGCGATGTCGACTACGCTGGTCGGCAACAGTTTGAAAGTTTTTCATGTCGTCGGCGTCGGCTTGCCTCCCAAAGTTGCCTGTGCCTCTGCGCTGCTTCTTCTGCCTCTGTCCGTGCCAGCGCCAGCGCCAGCGCCTGTTGCCAGTTACCAGTTGCCAGTTTCGACGGCTCTGCATTTGCTGTGCGCCTAGTTGAAAATCCAACTAATTGCTTATTTTAACCCCTTCAAAACTGGGCACACACACACACACAAACACACATACACAATGGGCCTTGCCTGGCCCGGCTTTCGTGTTTATTAATTAACAACACAAAACCCCAAACTCACAAAGGCAGCACACACAAGCACACACACACATGCATATATCCACACACACATATACACGTACGCACGTACACAGCTTAACCGAAGTGTTGTCTCCGGCATTCATTAGTGTTCATTAGTGAAACAAAATGCTCATTTACTTAACTACTCCCGGGCTCGTAACGAGCGTCCCATCTCTCTCTTTCTCCTTTCAGTGCGCCACTCACTCACTCACCGACTCACTCACTCACCCACTCTCTCTCTCTGTTTCGCTCTTTCTACCCGATTGCTGCACTCACTTATCGGCACTCGGCGAGTCACTCCGTTCCTGCTCTTGGCTCTTGGCTCTTTTCACTGGCTGCTGCTGCTGGTAGTTGTTGTTGTTACTGCCGCTCTTATGTTGCCAATTAAAATTCCATTTATGCCAAGTTAACTCACTTGGCTCGTTAATTGTTGTGGTTTTTTAATTGGACCCTTTTCGGTGCTGCTGAAATTGAATTGAATTGAATTGAACAACAAAAAGAACAATCGCATGAATGGCAGCGGCTCCGGCATGGACTATATCCACCTCCAATGCCCAGGCAGTTCTACCTACGTATATATATACCTGAGCTATAGAGACCGGCACTGGCTGTGCCACTGGCACTGGCTTCAACTATGGTGCAATGTCATTGAAGACCACCAAAACCTTCCCACTCTCTGCACTGTTCCATTGGGCGCGCTTATTTGTTGAGATTCATAGGGTTGCCAGGCTATACTAAAAATACGCCAAATTTTATTAATTTGTCCGCTATTAAATATAAACAAATATAATAACTAAAATATTCAGGGATTGTTTTCACTATATTTGTTTTAAGATTTCGTTTCAGTTGGTCCTAAATTTACATTTCTATAACATTAATTTCATAAATAAATATTTTTTAATTAAATAAATATTTCAATATTTATTTATTTATTTTTTTTATTAATATTAAAAATAAAATAATAATAAAAATAAATATTAAAAATATTATTTTTTTTTATTAATATTTTTAAATAATTTAATTTTTTTTAATTATAAGTATTATATTATTATCAAAACATACTGATTTGAAGTTTTTATACGATTTACTATTGCTAATGCTATTTTTCGCATTTCTTTTTCGCATCTTGACAGCTCTACGCCTCAATTCAACTAATGAACGAAGCCAAAGCAGCGCAGCACTTCGAGCAGCCAGTAGCAGCCATCAGCATACAAAAAAGTACTAAAAACAAAAGCCAACAAAAACCCCTAATTAAAATGCATTTTCATTCGGGACGTCAGCGTTGTTACCACATCGTCTGACCGCACCCCGCGTGCCTGTTTTTACTGTGCCTGGGACGTACTCTAAGGGGGGATTGCTTCATTCATTAGCTAGAATGCGGACCCCCTCGAGTAGCTGCCACTGCGCCTTACAGTCACATGAACCGTTATGCCATTGTACACACACACACACTGCGACATACGTACATGTACACAGGCCGTACACATGAGTGCGTGTGTGTGTGCGCGCGTTTGTGTGTGAGTGGCTGCGGGCATATTTAATTACAAAAGCTGCTAATTAGGAAACGTACACACCCACGTTGGTTAATTTGTTTGCAAACCAATTAACTCGGCGCACAGTATCAGGCGCACAGAAAACCACAGCCAGCAGACAGGCAACAGAAGCAAGCAGTAGCAGCAGCAGCAGCAGCAGCAGCAGAAGCAGCAGAAGCAGCAGTAGCAGCAGCAACCACAGCAGCAGCAGCAGCCGCTGCTGCTGCGAAAGAAACGCGTCACCGGCGGACGTCGCTGCTGAAAATGCAGACAGAACTTTCCAATCAGCGTCGAGCGCTCGGCCAGGGCACAGGGCAACTTCAGTGGCAGCGGCAGAAAAACAGAAAAAAAAGTTAACTAGTGAGCCAATGCGACTAAAACAGTTAACGTACAACAACAAAAGCCATAAAAGACAAGTCAATGGGGGAGGCACAAAAGTGCGCAATGGCCAACTTAATGAGTGACGAAATAATAAAAACGAAATTTTAATGAAAAAGTTCTGAGTGTGCGTGTGTGTGTGTGTTTGCTGGGCGTGTGCCGCTTGGGCTTATTCTTAATAAATGAGCTAAAGATGGCAAAAGTCATCAACGCCGCTGCGTTGTCTGCCATTGCCGTTGCCGTTGCCGCGGCCTCTGCCTCTGCCTCTGCTGCCGTCTTGCGTGCTAATGAGTAATAAATAATTTTTTTTTGCTGCTGCCGTTCTGCTACGGCCTAGACAAGCAGCATACGCGAATATCAGGCAAACAGAGCAGTAGAATAACGACCACAAGCGAATGAAGAGGGGAACACACAGAGAGAGAGTGGAAAAGGGAGAGACACAGAGAGAGAGAGAGAGAGAGAGAAACAGAGATTGAGCGCGTCCCAGAACGAGATAGTTAACGCAAGAATGTAAGAGAACGAGAGGTAGAGCGGAGGAGTAAACAGATTCGGTTCCGGCGTTGCTTTTGCGTTAATTAGTTTTAAGCATGTCCATTATGCAACAGCATGTGGCAAGCAACAGCAGTGTACATAAATATGAACATATGTAAATACATACATACATATATTTCGGACCGTAAGGCCGTAGGTACATATGTATGTATGTGTGTGTCTTCATATTCAACATATACATACATGTTGTATGTATGTATATAATTATGTGCATCGGAGAGCTCTTCAGGCTATTCGTCTAATTGCGCATAGTAGAGAATTTAATTATTTCGTAGTCACGGCAATTACATTATTTGAAATAGTACGTATAAGACAGCCATGGAGCGAGCTAGTTTGTTCTGTTATTCTTCTGTTTTATTATAATTTTTTTTTAATCTAGTACAGTCAGCGAGCTATGCTGATAAAGCAAAAACTGATTACATTGCAACGCATTAAACACACTAATGCAATGCCCACATATGGAATGAAAGACAGAGAAAGAGAGGGAGAGACAAACACATGCACACTCACATTCACACTGTGATACGCATACATGGCATAGCCAAGTGTGCAGCAGCAACCTCTGCCCATTTGCTGTCTGCCCAAAACAGTTACAACAATAACAACAGATGTCTTATCAAAATAAATAAATATAAAATTATTGCAGTTGCTCGACTAAACACTGCCCTATACCACAAAGCATACATACCACACATACATATGAAAGCAGGTAGGACATTTATTTAAGCGGACAGCCTGCTTCGCATTTACTCGGGTCATTTACTCTCTCGCGCTCTCTGCGAAGCTGTGCCACTTGACAGCCTTAAGCCGCAGAGTGATCGAGCGAGAGGTCCGATGCAGTCGGCAGTTCTGAGAATACACCATTTTCTTTGCTTACTCTGACAGCCCTCAAATGTGCGTGTATGTGTGAACAAGTAGTGCTACATGTGCACCCTGTACTTTGTGCAGTACTGTATGCTACTTTTACTTGTTTTAAATGCTCTTCTTATAATGATTTATATACAAAATAATTGTATACGTATGTATATGTATATTAATTTTATTTTTATATTAACAGACAACTACTTTCATCGCTTGCTCAGCCACTTGAGGTATGCCCGTTGCTGTCCGTGCTCTTTACAGGGTATACCAAAGCAGAGTTAACTGTTAGCAACAATAACAAACAATGTAATGCATATGGGGCCCGGGCCAGTCCAACTGGGCACGTGAGTATTTTATTATTTTTTCGGTTATCGGTGCCCGCATTTGTTTATAGACTCGGAACGGAGAACTCTTTTTAGGGTTTCGTCGCTTGTAGCTGGCTGCTGGGCGCCTGTTGCCCACTCAAATAATCGATCGCAAATTATTTATTGATTTTTGATTGATGAGCCTCAGGTGATTTACGCAAATGGGTGTGAGGCCCCCCATTGTGGCGCTGCGTGGATATTTCGGCACCAAATAAAGCTCATCTGACTTCTGTCCGTTTGGGGCGGATTAGTTAGCTTTGCTTATGCGGCTAACAGCAATGCCAAGAGGCAGAGATCGAGCTAGGCGGTGCCATGCCGAGCCGTGCCGTGCCGAGTGGAGTCAAACAACCGCCGCAGTTCAGGTTGAATTTGAATAATATTATCAGGTTGCAAGAGCTCCACCAGCTGTGACAGCTGAATTTGATAAGCCGCGCGCGCTATCGCTACATATGTAAATTATATGACGCATTCGTAATAAATATTTTTTGTCAGTTCTATTTAGATTTATTTGTTTATTATACTCGATCTATAACAAAACATAGAAAAAATAACTTGCTAAAAGAAAAACACTTAACAGCTACAGATATAAGCGCCTACTACCGGAGAGGTCTCGTTAGGAAGGTTATTATATATGTATATGTAAATTTCTATATTTTCTGTATCTTTTTTTTTGCTTTTTTGTTTTTTTCTTTTGTATTTTTTTTTTTTTTGTCAATTGTGTGAACTTAATTCGTAGCAAAACTTATTCTATATACTTAAATAATTATTGTTTCTCATATACTCGTAAAATATAAGTTTATAAAAATCCCGCCTCCAAAAATATGCAATATAATAAGTACAAAAATCATGCCCCAAAAGTATGCAACATCATCCATCTTCCTCGTCTTCTTCTTCCGTCTACTTGCGACTGCCTTTGCGCCTTAAATGATGTCGCGTCGTGGCCGCTGCCAGGGCAACCGCCGCCTGCGCTGCCGCCGTCAGATAACCTTCGGCGCAGCGCGTGGGCCAACTCTAGGATTCGTAGAGCAAGCGTTGATAGTGCGGCAAGATCTCATGCATTGGCACATGCAAACTGAACTCGAGCGCCACGAGCACGGCGAACTCCGAGGATATCAGTTCCTTGCGATTCAAACGAAACACACTCTCCGTCTTCTCAATCAAACTCTTCAGAGCATCGCCCTTGACATCGTTCATCTTGGCGCTGAGCAGGAGACAGGCGCCGGCACACAGCTTGCGATTGCTCTTATTTATCAGATTGGCTAGAATTAGCTTCTCGAAGTAGACATAGGCCTGCGATATGGTGACCAAATCGATGCGCGAATCCAGTTTATTGATGCGTCTCATCTCCCTCTTGATGCTGTGGAATAACATAGAGTTAGTTAAAGTTTTCATTGAAGAGTTTAGCAGATCAAAAATACCTTCTCAGTTTACTTAAGGTCAGCTGTACGGTTGGAAACTTTTCACGGAACTTATCGTTCAGCTCCTTCTTCAGATCCGACGGACGCACATAATCAATGACCGAAGTCATATACGAGGTGAAGGTCAACAAAGTGCGATGCTTGCCCGCTATTAACTCTGGATCATCTAGGATGCTCGCCGAATACTGTTGATACTGTAGACAGAGAGCATAAGGGATAAGCTATAGTACAATATATATAGTTTAGACAAAATTCTACTTACAGGCAAACCACGACCCGCATCTGTTCCACTGAGTACCATGCTCTCCATATCCATATCGAGTTTCATCTCGGGTGTTGGACTCGCTGTGGTATTATTGCGATTGTTGTTCTCATAGGTGAAGCACCTGTAAAATGCATCGATTATTGATTATAGATATATCGTATGATATGATATATATATAGATATAAATGTATTTATTGTTGATCTATAAGAGGCGTGAGTAAGCGGTTTAGTTGAAAGCGTTTTAGCCAGTTTTCGACTGTGCAAATGTGAAGTGTGAATTTTGTTAGTGGTAACTACTCTATATAATATAGATACAACGGATATTTGAAAGCTTTCACAAGCCATCCAAGCCATGAACTATCCATGTATGTATATACAATATGTTAATATATATTTATCAATTCATAGCCGAGATAGCTGTGATTGTTTTTGGATTTTTGTTATTTATTAGCTGCTTCAAAAATTTACCATTTGCCTTGATGTTTGGTTATGGTTTTTGTGCTGAAACGAAGTAGTGCAAAGCGTTATGATTAGCAAAAAACAGTTAATGGTACAAAATGCGTCGAAATTCTCCTTCTTGTATACAGTTATTATATATACATATATGCTAGATATAAATATATATATTTTTGATTATGTAAAGTATTACGCAATCATTAAAAGTTAAAAAAAAACACCTGAATCATATTGGTATGCTCGCTCATAAGGTAGAAGATGAGTATATTGGTTTTCTGGTATGCCTACTTGTGTGCCTATATGGGTCGCTTTATAGACTATGTACATATGGTTACCTATTATATTTTGAAATTGGCTTGGGCATCATATAATACTTTTAAAATTTAAATATTTTTAACCTTTGATTCTTATACCTTTCACAGCTTAACTATCAATAGTTTTACAGGTAGCATCCAACAGGATTATGATATAGTCAATTTTAAACGCATATAATCAGCAAGTTCTCTACTTGATTTACATTTCATAATCAAACTATGAACCGAAAAATATGATTGCAAATTCTAAAATATGAAATTTTTAACAAATATAGCTAATTTTTGGAATCATCAACAGGTATTGGGCAGTCGATCACAGCCGACGGCAATATTTTCACTTGTTTTTCGCTGATTTATTTCGAATGCCCATGACTCAGTCCGTAGCCGCAATATATTTATTATAGAATTTTGTGCACGCAGCGAATGAAAATTATGTTGTTCATCTGATATTTGAGCTTTAGCTGTTGTTTATATTTTGCTTATTTGACAAAAATATTTAACAAGCTGATTATTTGTTTTTTTCTCCTTCTTTCATTTATAGGGGATTACGAGACGTTATGTAAATTAAATTGGATTACAGTCGTTAAATTGATTTTAAAGCTGTTTTTTACAGAATTACATATGCATACTTATGGATGAAAGGATATGGATAAATTTAGGCATAATGTTTCGAAATAGTTAATCAACATTTCAATGAACCAATTAATAATGTTTGTAATATGGATGAGACATGAGATCAATTTTAATCATAATGCGTTTATGGTAATGGAAAATTATGGTACAGGTAAATGAAACATTCGATTTGAATGAGGCACCAACCTCGCTATGCCATGATTTCTGAGAGCTGCTGTGCTCGTTATCTCCATTTGATTCTCAAATATAGAGGGATTGGTCGAGGCATTGCCATGTTTCTTGCGATCCTTCTCATATTGACGCGACGGTACCAGCAAGTGTCCGTACGAAATATCCTAAGAAATAGATAAAAAAATTTTAATTAATTCGCTTAACTTGATTAATATTTGCGTACAGAACTAACCTGGCCACTTTCAGCTTTCTTTATGCCTAGCAAATCGAAGGGGTCGAAGGGAGCATCGTTAATGGAGCTCAAGGGGCGAGAAGTGGATGGGTTGCGACGTCGACGATCCTCCTTGCGTATCTCGGCACTAGAAGGATATGCAGATATATTAATATCAATTTATATTTTCGAATTCTTTATGATCATTTACGTACCGTCCATTCTTGCCCTTGTAGTACGGCAATGCTGAGAATATAAAAAATGGCACCTTTTGTGATACCAACAAAATGCGCTCATTGCGTTGTCCCAATCCTACACCCGGAGCTCGACGTCCATCAGTGATCTGCACGGATTTACCGAAACTGTTGCGAAAACTGCCAGTGGCAGGGGCCAAACTCTCGGTGCTGCTGTCATCCGTTATGTGACTGGCACTCGAACCGCTACGAATGTTGTAGTTGCGTTTGAGTCCGCTAGCTGCAATGAGTCCGGCATTGCTTCCTCGCATTCCAGGTGCAGTATTCAGACGGGCACGTCTCTCCGGCTGCAAGCTCTGTTCGCTAGCTCCATTGCTGAAGGTTCTGCAATTGAGAATGAGGGTTAAAATGAGAATTAAGTATACAAAAACCATTGAGATAACTTATTTACTTATGCATGTATAAATGATCTTAAATGACAAGCCTCAAATGCAACAATGAGCGTATATTCCCCTCTACTCACTCACTCAAGCTTACGCACTCGCTCGCTCTCCATTCAAAATCCCTTCAAATAGCCACACATCAGTTTGGGTATTTTAACGGCGCATCATAATTTCCCATTCTCTCACTGGCTCTTCCTTCAAAATACCCACAGCGATTTGGGTATATTTAACGGCGCATCATAATTTCCCTTTCTCTCACTCGCATCATAATATCCCATTCTCTCATTGGCTCCCCCTTCTAAATACCAACAGCAGTTTGGGTACATTTAACGGCGCATCACAATATCCCATTGCCTCTCCCTCTCGCTCTCTTTCTTTAAATAGCAGCATTCAGAAGATGCACGCACACACCCCAAAGAGGTGATCGATATTTTCACAGGCTTGCAGCAAAGAGCAGTCCAAAGAAATTTTGTCAATACGATCGAGGTTCACACTGCATACATACATATATACACACACAGACACATGATGTGGGCATTCATAGATCGTTGTTTATTGTTTGTCGTGCGTTTTTCGTAGAAAATAAACATCGAGTTTGTATTTATTGGACTGCAACTGCAGAAGGGCATCTTGTTGTTATTTATTTCTGTGCGCCTGCTCAATTACCTTGAGATAATTGGTATAGATCGAGGTTACGCTCCAGCTCCAGCTACAGCAAAGGGCTCCAACAAATGGCACCTAAAATCACGTACACAAATTTCCGTGAAATAGCGTTTGCATTAATTAGGAAACTCGCTCAAGGGGGGACCCATACCCATAAGCAATATGATGAAGTGGCGCCAAGCCTGTCATAACCCGTTAATTAGTTGGAGTATTCGAATAGGCGCCCAGAAATGCCAGCAACCAAACGCCACACACAACAAATGAGCGGAGCAAAAGACCAAAGGGAAGACGGAACGCCAAAAACCACGCACACACTTTTACGCACACGCACACGCACGTCTATTATGTTATTTACATGTTTACATGGAATTTAAATGCTCAACAAACTGCAGCCAAAGGCGGAGAAGAAGAAGAAGAAGCAGCAGAAGACATTTCCAAAAGGGCACGCTGTAGAAAATATACGACGACGCGTCATCTTGTGTAACTTATCGACTCTTCAAATAATGAGCGAGCTCATGCGTAAGTATGTGTGTGTGTGTTTGTGAGTGCGAGCACAACAATACGGTATTTAATGCGATGATTAGAAGTAACTGGGAGAGAAGAGTATAGCCCTAGAAGAGAGACGAATGCAACGCCCACAAGTGCGTGTCGTAGTGCAAGTGGTAGACTGACTGACTCTCTCTTTCTCTCCCTCTTCCTCACTCTCGCTATATTTTTGGGCATGTGTGTGTGTGT